ATTGTATAACGTAAATTTTCTAAATACAGTACGAAGGGCGATTCATGAAACTTAATTAATTTCAACTTACAAGGATTTAGCAATAATGTGATCTTATGAAACAGCCGGTAAACTCCGTATATATCACCTCTACCTGGTAAGAAATGAAAGTATTACATAATTTTTACATCTATTTATTATTGTCTCTTAACCCAGATTTGTAAACCAATTAATGATAATCTAATTAAAAGGAAAACGAGGTAATGTCGACTCGTACTTGGACTGCCAGTTTAAGCACCCACCCTCCAGTCCTTATAAGACCATTCCAAGTTTTTTTTCTATGTTTAGCTTTACCAATGTAGGAAAAATGATATCATCTTTGCACGCCAGAGGTTTCCTATCTCCTCTTCCCTGTTGTAGAGAAAAGGAATAGATCGAAAACCCTTGGTTTGCCAAGATTTCCTTCCATGAACCTAGATAATTCTATACTCTTTGTGTAAATGTTTTACTGCATTGCGTATAATTGTTATTTCCACTAAATTTTAAATGAATTAAATGCATAAGAATCAGGAATCCTTTGGAATTCACAAAGGTCAAGAAAAGTAAATTGTGTTTCCTATAAGAGTAATTATCTAAGCCTGCCACAGTAAAATTCTAAGTCTTAATTGTCTTTAATGCGTTCTGTCAAATGCATGTGAGTTAAATTTATAGCCATTGCCTGCAACACCGCATTTTTATTAAATAGAGATTATGTTAAATGTTTGCTATGTACTTTTCATTCAAATTATCTATGTATTTCAATCACATATAATTTGAGAGTCATTTCAGATACACTTTTAAATGACTTTGTGTGCATTTTGATTGATGGTTTCACCTTCATACGCAGTGATCACAAAACTATTTCACAGGACATCACAAGTTTCATTGTTTCTGATGCACGATCAGCTCTCATTCGTTACATATTAATCCAGGGAGACGGTTAAATTTCATAAAGGAAACTTTATCCAGTGCTTAAAATTTTAATGATTTTGCCAATTTCTGATATACTGGAGGCATTGCTTTTATCCTTAGTATTTCGTAAATGGCTTCCTTCAGTCTGAGCATCAATAACCATAGGGTTAATCTTCGGTCAAATTCAGGATCATACATGAAAGTATTGGTTTGAGATTCCCTTTTTATTATTTTTTTAAATTTGTTTTCATATTTGAAATCAGGTCTTGCAATACTTTTTTATTTACTTCAAAGCCTTAGCGGACCAAGGACCTTCCTCGTGCCATTTCTTTCAATCTATAATGTTGAAGTATCCTTGACTTTTGATGCCGCAAGCTTTATTGTTCCATAAGGTTATTGTTAATATCAGCTTACGCTTTCTGTTGTTGGCTGACAACTCTGAATTTGCAAAGCAATACACTATTATAGTACTACAGCATTTTTATGACCCCGTAATCGAAGATTCGAGGGTATATAGTTTTTCCCCTTCCCTCCATCTGTCTGTCTGTCCGCAAAACGTTAACCTTGCCCATAACTTTTGATTGGTTGGAGCTATGGCTTTTATATTTCAATTGTTTATTCCTTGTGACAAGACCTTCCCTTGGGTACCAAAATATTTGACCTCTTGACCTTGGAGTTTGACCCCCTTTTGCAAAAATTTACCAATCTTTAACCTTGGCCATAACTTTTGAATAGTCCATGCTAGGGCTTTCATACTTCACATGTGTATCCATTGTGACAAGACCTTTTCAAGGGTATAAATATTTTTGACCTCGTAACCGTGACTTTGGAGTTTGACACACTTTTGAAAAACTTTGAAACATGGGCCCTAACTTTGAACAGTTAGGAATAAGGCGTCTAAATTTCACAGGTATATTTTTATTTTGACAAGACCTCCCTTTAGATACCAACAATTTTTACCTTGACCTTGGAGTTTGACCTACTTTTACAAAACTTTTACTTTCGCCATGACTTTTGAACAGTTGGTGCTAGGGCTTTTATATTTTGCATACGTATTTCTTATGACAAGGTCTTCCCCTGTGTACCATTAATTTTGACCCTTTGACCCTGAGCTTGGCGTTTGACCCACTTTTAAAAAACCTTTAACCTTGACCATAACTTCTGAACAGTTGGTGCTTGGGTTTTCATATTTACCAGGTATATCTATTGACACATGCAAGTCCTTTCTTTCGGTAACAACATTTTTCATCTCTTGACCTTGACCTTGGAGTTGACTTGGTTTTGATAAACTTTAACCTTCGCCATAAGCTGCCATACGGGGGTATCAGTGTTTCAAAGACTGGTCATGTTATCAATGTAAAACTCTCCTAAGCATTTTTTAAAACGATAAAATGCTTTAGAATGATAAAAAGGTTTTTTTAACACAAAGACCTTGTTAACATTTGATAAAAACCTTCTTTGATCTGAAGTATATTCATTGTTCAAGGAAGACACCAAAACATTCATTAAGGATAAATCACGCCAACAATACAAGAAAGAACGTTATTATCGATATGACATGGCGACAGACGGTGTTATCTGATAATTATCACTGATTAAGATGGACAGATAGCTCTTTACCCCTGTTAAGAATGTATGTTCTAAGAAGGGATGACTTTAGAAATAGCAAAGATGGACGGAAATCGATCGATTCATTCAGGGCTCTGTTTCGATGAACATTTTTGGAACCAGTGGATATTTATTATTTTTAGTAATCACCGTATATTATATCTTAAAATATTTTGATAGCTGAAATTTGTTTGTATGTGTGTGTGTGTGACTGGAGCTAGCACAGTCACACAGACATTAACCATATGTACTAGCTTAAGGAATAAGGTTAGTCACCCGGCTCTGTTCGTAAAGAAGATGCAGACAGATATGTTTATGTTTTTTTAATAAGGATTATAGTCACATGACTAACTTAACAGATTTAATCTAAAATTACAAAATTGAACTATTTGTGTATGGTGATAGGAATTTCAGTGCTAGAAAATCCATAAATAAGAATACTAGTAAAACATTTTTTTTTAAATTGTACTGACAGTTCTTTAATTTCTATATTTTTTTTTTGATATTCAACGTTCACAGAAGAAGCTATAAAAGTTAACAATTCAAAATGGCGGTGGTATACCACCACATGGTGGTTTCTTTGATTGTGAACACATTTCAATCGACCTAACTACGTATTTGAATTTTACTACCGTATTTGTTAAAGTTTTGGTCAAGCCATAAAATCAATATTACGTAGCTTGAAATTGTGAACATTTTTAAACATAGTAATATGTATTTCTATCAAAATCTGAACTTTTTAAAATATCTTCATACTGTAAATGGCGGGGTTTTTTGTTTGTTGGATGTTTTTTTAATGGTTTTTTTTGTTTTGTTTTATTTTTTGTTGTTTGTTTGTTCGTTTGTTTGTTTTGTTTTTTTGTTTTTTGTTTGTTTGTTTAAATCACCTGAGCTGAAAGTGAGATTTTCTGATCACATTTTTTTTCCTGTCGTCCGTCTGTCCGTCTTTAAACTTTTCACATTTTTAAATTTTTCTCCAGATCCACTGGGCCAATTTCAACCAAACTTACTACAAAGCATCCTTGGATGATAGGGATTCAAATTTCTTCAAATTGAAGACCATACCCTTTTTCAAGGGGGATATAATTAAGAATTAGTAAGAATTTGGTAGCATCTTTTAAAAATCCTCTCAACAACCAACCACCTGAGCCAAAAAAAGTTGAAACATGTGAAAGCTTCATTATATAGTGTAGATTCAAGTTTGTTCAAATCTTGACCTCTGGAGGTTGGGTGGGGCCACAATGAGGGATCGAAGTTTTTCATGGGAATATACAGGGAAAAATCTTCAAAAATCTTCTTCTCAAGAACAGTAATGCCATGATAAGTCATATTGATATGGAAGCATCCTCTGGTAGTATAGATTCAAGTTTGTTCAAATCATGACCCCAGGGGGTAGGGTGGACCACAGTGGGGGATCAAAGTTTTACATAGGGATATATAAGAAAAAGGCTTTAAAAATCTTCTGCTCAAGTACAGGAAAGCAATGATTTGTCATATTGATATGGAAGCGTCCTCAGGCAGTGTAGATTCTAGTTTGGTCAAATCATGACCCCTGGGGATAGAATGGGTGATTAAAGTTTTACATTGGAATATATTATAGAAAAATTCTGCTGATAAAGTACAGCAGGGACTTATTGATCCAGGTGAGCGTTGTGGTCCATGGGCCTCTTGTTTTATTTTTTCTATTTTATTTTATTTTTGTTTTGTTTTTTGTTTCTTTTTTTTTTTTTTTTTTTTTGAAACAATACGCTGTCTTACTTTAGATGTGTAGCCTTAAAAGAAAATAGATGGAAACAAGCATTCTGAGAGTATTGCATTAGCAATACTAGTCCACTACCGGCAAGTGTAATCTGGTTCCCGTTAAGAATTGAAAATGCCATAATTCCGTCAAAAATCAATGAAGCGGGACGAAATGCAAACTTGATCTATAACTAATCAAGGTTAAGTCACTTACCAAAGATCAGCTCAATATCTGAAAGCGTTTAGAAGAAAATTGCGGAAAACCCCTAAAAATTGAAAAGGCCGTATTTCCGTCAAAAATCAATGAAGCGGAACGAAATGCAAACTTGATCTGTAACTCAGCAAGATACACTCACATACCAAAAATCAGCTCAATATGTGCAAGCGTTTAGGAAAAAAGTGCGGAAAACCAAGTGGGACAGACTGACAGACATACAGACAGACAGACGGAACAGACAGACAGACAGACGGACAGACGGACGGACAGACTCAGAGGAAACCTATAGTCCCCTCCGGTTTCACCGGTAGGGGACTAATAAGGCGAATATGTCATATATATTTACAATTTTTGATGTACACCTGGTGTTGATCTTGTTTGTGCTCAATCATATCTATATATGTACATTCCTAGTAATCTAGTACATACAGACACTGCATCTAGTAATAACAAACCTAACCACAGCTGGAAGTACCTTTTAAAATGTATTTTCTTTTATTTGCAGTTGCTAGCTCCACAATTTATACATGCAATTAAACCTGCAATCGGTGAAGAATGGACGCCTGCAGTAGAGAAGGCCTGGAACAACTTTCTAACATATATCACAGATATCATGAAGAAAGCTATGTTGCAGGCCACGTGATCCCCAAGGGCTTCTGTGAATTATTTCCCTTGATTTAACCATTCGAAATTCTGAAACAATGTATAAATTGTGTGTGTGAGGAAAATACGGGAAAGAGTGTTTTGAAGAATATATTTCAATAAATGCAATACCGATGTCATTTGTCGTCTATCACGATCAAAGATTACATTTACGTCAATATGTGAACAATGCACCTTCGCTGAAAGAATGGCGTGACAGACTAAGGTTAGGTTGATGGCGCCATACTCACGGAATCTGTAAATAAGCGCCAAAATCTATCATTTTGTGTTCCATTACCCGTTGATGAGATTCGGTTTAAAACGGTGAACTAATGGAAGATAGTTTAATCTTCATTACCTCAGAATTAAGATTAAAAGCTGTCAGCACAGGTAGCGTTCGTACAGCTTAACAGACGTTCTCACTTTATATAAATTAACTTCACACCTGCAAAAGAACACAATACGTAAATTGTATACGTTAACTGTTTCCCTCAGTCTGCACTTAGATAAACTGACGCAATCTGATCAACTTCCTTTGTTTGTTAAATCATCTCATAAATTCATCAAACGTGCACATTATTTACAAGAAATTACAGAATGATTATATCTGTTGAAAAGGAAGATTAATTCAAAGTGCGTGCAGAACATATTACACCAGGCCAGATGGCTGACGTATAGCTCCAGAAAGTTTTATCAGGAACTTTTATAATGAAATTCAGTTTATATACTGAATTCAGTGTTATATGGACAATTTAAAAATTCTTGTAATACTAGTATTCAGCATATGAACGTGCAAGCAAGAATTAGTACTACAAAACCTTTGATATTGTATAATAGCAGATATTCTAAATAATTTTTATGCATAAAAAAAATTGGTGAATTATTTCTACAGTTTCCGATTTCATGAGTATATTTTAAGAAGTTGGGCTATATCCGTGAAATCGTAGCATTTGGGTTTTTGTTAATTGAATTCCTCTCTAAAACAAGTCTACAAGCAGACTGGGGCTATTATACTAACAAACTTATTCTTACAGCAATCTTGACGAGGTTCCAAGATAAACATAACAAAGAATTTGTCTAAATAATTCTTCACAGGTTGTCTTTTTTTCACGGAGTGTATCAAACAATTTATAATATATATTATTTCTGGCTGACGTCTGGATAACAATTTGTCATCAAAACAAAATATACAAACCGAATCTAGCAGTGGAAGCAGACAAATTGGCACTTAATGTAAGTACTGAAACATATAAATAGCAAAGACTAATGGAAATAACCAAAAAAATCAACAGAAGGGAGGGGGATAAAAAAAAAATCATATCTTGATTCACCTATTTAATAACGAGCAGAAGTAAGAGTAGTGTTAAAGTAAAAACAAATACATTTAAACAGACAGACAGACAGACAAAGTAACATCAGAGTTAGGATAACAAAGTTAAATACTGAAAAAAGACCCTCATGATACATTTGTACTACCAGTGCTTAAGGATGACAGACATTGAAAATGAAAATCATAAACAGAATGAACCTGAAGTCTCTGATGAGACTGCAGCTCTACTGATTTTCATTAAATTATCACAAAATAAGAGAAATGTAGCACTTGACGTTGAAACTTTGCAACAGCAATAAATAGAATAATGATCCTTGGTTTAGTCTCTTTTTGTGGCAAGATTTATTACATTCAGACTTAAAACTGAAAGAGGAGTAGGCCTTTGAAAGAATTTTACAGCAATTTCTATTTTTAGTAACCATGGTAACACCATTCATTATTTGATTCGTCGAGAAAAATTTTTTAAAAAATAGTGTTACCCTCTGAATGATGAATCCACGTCCTCCAACGCGATAGAACATAGCAACAGTCAACATTGCTTGACGACGGGTGATATTCCAAAAAAAAAAAATGACTACGCGGAATCTTTTCAGTTGTTTCTTGGTTGAAAATGTTTTTCTTGGGGTGAAAATTTTCAATGTTACCCTTGCGTACATGTATGCAGTATTTATATAATATCTCAAATAAGTGAAAAATATTCTTGCAAGGGACATAAAACAACCAAAAAAAAATCAATCAGTCAAATGTTGGTATCAATCAATAACTTTGACTTGAAAATGAAGAGTTTTAAAATGAACTTTAAATCAAAAACGATAAACTTGAGCGTTATTGTGATTAGTTTGTATACGTTGAAGGATTATCAAATTATAAAGCTATTAGGCTTCCATAGGCCAAAACCAAATAGTGGGTAAGTGTGCTATATTAGTATTGTTTAAATATGTATTACAATGTTATTCTCATAGGAACTTTTATCATAATAATCGTAAATAATAATTCCTTCTTAGTGCACAAAAATATTACCTTTGAAATCGGTGTCTTTTTATTTAACATTTATGATTAAATATAAACACATCCTTATTGGTCAGCTTATATAACAGCTTTATAATAAAGGATTACGAAATATGTGCAGGTGGTTAAACTGTTTCTAATGATATTTATTTTTACGTCGATCCAACTAAAGTGACAACAATATAAAACTGCGTAGTCTTCCGTGCTACATGGAAATGATAAAGAGGTGTAAAATAAACTTAATTCAACTATTACGTGTATGGAACACCGCAACAATCATTATCCTGCAAAATCAACGTTTCATTGAGGCCCCCTTGCATCGATCCTCAAACTCAATTTTTAACTCTACTGGTCAGAGACCAAAAGAGCTTATGCGATAGTAATGTGTCCGTCGTCCGTCCGTCCGTCTGTCTAGCTGTCTATTTGTCTGTTGACAATTTTTCAAAATGCTACTCCTCCTACAGATTTGTCAGTGCATATTTAAGATTTTATAGTACATATTTAATAGTACAGATTTTACAGTACATATTTAAGCAGAATGGTTTGATTATTTAAGTAAATCACTGACCAAGAGAATGTAAAATGTTAAATATGAGTGTACCCACATTTTCCAGGGGATGTCTTCGACAGGTCGCCCATCAGTCGCTATCATCGGAGGCGGGATATCTGGATTGGTCTGTGCTATACGGCTGGGCCAACTTGGTTTCTCCAAAGTGACCGTGTTTGACACAGGTGTGTACACTAAGCTTGTATTAAATAGCAAATAAATAATTTTGTTGGAATCCAAATTTTCAGTTAAGTCTATTTCTTGACTTCTAATTAGCCTTTTTTAATGTCACGTGAGTCACTCAGGTGACCTATTGCTAACTGTTTTCGTCCGTTGTCGTGTATTATGCGTTAATATTTGAACATTTTCAGCTTCTTCTCTGGAACTGCTGAACAAATTTCAACCAATTTAAGCATATGCCATCTATGGGTGAAAGGGGAAAAATTGTGAATTTCATGCCCCCCACCCCCAAGGGGCCTGAGGGGTGGGTCTAAAGCCATCAAAATTAATGCACTAATTAATAAATTTTCTACTTTTCTGAAATCAAGCAAATAAGATGTCGGCAGGTGTGATCGGTCAAAAGGGGATGCTTACTCCACCTAGGTACCTGACCCCACCTCTGGAATTTCCGAGGATCCGTATTTTATTCCCTTTTCACAAATTTGTATTATTTGTAGATTTTTGAGATTGATCATGAATTCATGATCGTTATTTTCACCTTTTTCATTTAATAAGCATTGAACCCTCTACCAAATTGTGAAATTTGTGGCCCCTGGATCAAGGGTTCTGGAGTAAGGGTGGGACTAAGTTGATCATATAGTGCAAATGCATATATTCTTTGAAAATCTCTTCTCCCGGGTATTAAGCAAACCTAGTAAGTGCATTGTTATATAATTGAGCAAGGGTGCCTCTTCCAAAATTGTGAAATTTGATGCCCCTGGATCAGGGTTTCTGATATTAGGGCAGGGATCTACTGATAATACAGTGAAAAATGTATAAATTGTTAAAAATCTTCCTCTCTGCTCCTGGCTATTTAGCAAACAAAGTAAGTGCATGGTTATAATGAGCAAGGATGTCTCTTCCAAAATTAAGAAAATGCTGGCCCTTTGGTCAGGGGTTTGATGTTAAGGCAGGATAAAGGTATATTGATACATAGTGAAGATGCATTTATTCTTTGAAAAAGCTTCTTCTTCTCTGCTCCTGCGTATTTTGCAGATAAACTAAGTGCATTGTAATGATAAGCAAGGGTGCCTCTTCAAAAATTGTGAAATTCATGGCACCTGAGTCAGTGATTTAGGTGTTAGAGTACGGTTCTATTAATTATACAGTGAAAATGTATCAATTCTTTGAAAATCTTCTCTGCTCCTGGGTATTAAGCAAACAAACTAGGTGCACGGTTATAATGAGCAAGAGTACCACTTCCATATTTGTGGAATTCATGGTCCCTTAGTCAGAGGTTATGATGTTAGGGTGGGGCTATGTTTATCATAAAGTGCATAAATTCTTTTAAAATCTTCTCTACTCCTGGATATTTTGCAATCAAAGGAGATGGGCGAACATAGCGTGCAGAAAGCCTATAGCTTCAGATATATAATCAAAGTACTGAAAGTACTCATGGGAGTTGAACATTGTAATGTGAAAGATTTAACAGGAAGTAAAGGAGCTATAATGTCGGAACATTTTTTCATACTTTAGATACAAGTCAACTATTGCAGATTTGATAGAGATACAAAATCAAACATAAGAAATAATGTCAAAAACATTTGAATAACGAAGATCATGGGCCACAATACTCACATGAGTAACTTTAATGACTTTAACCGTGCTGTTCTTTGTGATTTTCAAAAACTTTTACCACTTAATATTCTCATGCTGGGACGTAGCATCGTTTTTGAAAAGGGGGGGGGGCTCCAAAATTCTAACTCGAAAATTCTATTATTTGGGTGTGGGGATGGTTTCAAACTTCTTTCAGTATCAAATTTTACTCATACACTACTACATCACCCCTATTTGAATATTCTGCAACAAACAGTAGGGGGACGGACTTTCAATGAACATTTTCAATATTAAATTTTTATAAATTTCATGTTTGGATAAAGGGGGGGGGGCAGACCCCTCCCCTATGCTACGTGCCTGTCATGAAAAAAAAAATGTGTCAGCATAAATTAATATGGCGATATCAAACTCTGAGGGGTCTATAAATCTACACAATATTAATAACAATGTCTTGCAATTATGAAGATTTTTTTCCTGTACACATACATTCAACTTAAATCCCAATTTATTTAATTCATTAAATATACCAAATTAATTTTTAGCCAATTCTCACATAGAATCCATATAATATAAGCGTGCAGAACATTAACTGGCGAAATTGGAAATATGCAGCTTACGTCATTTAAATTTCCATCTGTTACAATCAGAATGTTTAATGAGAGACAATGAAATGGGCGGGTACAATTCAACACGGACGTCCGAGAAAACATTGGATTGAAATTTTAGTTTGAAATTCATTTTCAATCCACCTGAGCTGTTTTCAAACCTAAAGTGTGAATGTATAATCCGAAAGACAAATAATTTCAATTCCCAAATACATGTTGTTTGACATTCATATTCATATGTCGATTGAGTACTTTAGCATATAATTTTAAGGATACGTAAAAGTAAAAGAAGACAGAGAATACTTTTTCAGGGGACGGCCATTTGATTCTAGAAGGGGTGGGGTTTCAAAAATTGTCGAGTCAGATCATGCCTCCACATGATAGAATATGTTTATTTCTAGGATGACAAAAGCTTTTTTTTTAGTTTTGTCTTCACTGAAACTGTTTGACAAACAAAAGCAGGGAGGGGTTGGCAATTTAAAAGAAAGTTTTCATATTTATTCCAAGATCGTTCAGCCCCCTCCCTCCCAGCACACACATTCACATACCAAACAGAAATCAAATATTTGTCCCATTATATTTCTTTAAATACACTGGACAGAAAATTCTGATTTATATAAATTTCAAACTATTCCAAAATTGAAATTATTTGTCTTCTTGGTCAATCAGTAACACCGTACGTTCTTGCGTAGCTGAGGTGGATTGAAAATGAATTTCAAACTAGAATTTCAATCCAATGTTTTCTCGGACGTCCGTATCAAATTGTACCCACCCATTTCATTGTTTATCGTTTAACATTTTGACGGTAACAGATGGAGATGACGTAAGTTGCATATTTCCAATTTTGCCAGTTAATGTTCCGCTGTCTTAATTTGTTAAGAATCAACACAACTTTGAATGGTTTGCATTCTAATGGTTCTATTGCAGCAAAGTTTTCTCAAAACAAACGTAACTTTTTAAGTCATTTGGATGTAATATATGAATCAGTAAAATATTAATGGACATGCTGATACAGCTCATCCCAATTTCTGAAAATAAAATCTTTATCTGCTTGGCTCCTTTCTTTACTTTTTCGAACATTGATAATCTATTTAAAATAGAAATGAAATGAAAGCATTTGAAACCCAACGCCCTCCCTCCTCTCTTCTGAATATGTACAAGATCCTTGGTCCCAACAACCAACTGGCACTTTTTATTTTCAATGTTACCATCACCAGACACTAAATTGTCATTTTTTTCTTCCTCTGATTGGAACAAGCAGTTGATATTATCTTTTGGGTATAACTGGTTCTTTTCGGACACAATAATTAATTTTTATAGATTTTTTTTAATTTAATTTTTCTATCAAAATGTTTTTATCTTTATAACTCAATCATTATGTATTTTTTTAAATCCCATAATTTTTAATTTCATGTCAAGAAATTTCTTTATAGAAGTAAGTATCTCTGAATACTTCGCCTTTTGTTTGTTTGTTTTACATCTCTTCGAGAATTTTTACTCAGAAAGAGACACTACCACTTGCCAATGGAGGCTAGGGCTGCAAATTTTTACCCATACAGGACACTCAGAACCATTGAGCAGTGAGGGATTTTTTTGGGGGTGCCAGCACCTACTGCGAAATGGGATCTCGGTTTATACGGTCTCATCCGAAGGGTCCGTTTCTAAATGCATACCGCAGTGGGATTCGAACCCACGACGTAATGATTAACACCTTACTTTGAATCTCTAGAGCAAACGATTTTGAACAACTGTGCAACGCGAGATTGAATTTCAGGTATACTACATTGTATACACATGTAGCTGAGCTGGACAAGTTTTTCAAACTTTCAATGAATTAAAACGATCGACTTGAATCTGTTTTGATTTTTTTTTAAAAATCAGATGTAGTTTAACGAGCTACTGCAAGAAATAAAACTGTTGTAGTTATGACCGCATTGTGTCCGCACACGCATGCATTCATTCATTTTAATTGTTTTTATTAATAAAATCAAATGAAACATCTTTTAATGATAACGTATTACTGCAATACACTTTTATATGCAGACATGTTGAAATGCATTAATTAATGTAACACACATTTTTCAAGTTCAGTAGTAGTGTTGTACACGTGACCCACTGAATGCTGATAAATTCATGAAATTAAGGATTAAAAATTAATGTCATCTGAAATTGTCACACATTTACTTCTTTCTTTGTAAGTAATTCTTATCTGCAGAGTTATCAAAAAAAAACCTCAGTCTTGTCGGCAAGGAATTTTCTGGACCGATAACGTACAAGAAAACAGTGGTCCAAACGACCGTTTAAAACATTGAACGTGATGCAAATTTCTAAAACGCTGTGCCTAGGTAAGGACCACAAAACACCGAAATCGTCCGTATGGTGACGATTGTCGATCAAAATTGTTAAAGCATGTCTCTGATTAGAGACTCTGTATCGTAAGATAGGATTTTTTGTGAAATCGAATATCATAAAACTTAAAAGGCATCTTATTTTAGTGCTATTATTTTTCCCTTTATCAGCGATTCAGCGTACAAAATAAGATGCATGTATCTGGTCTGACAAAACTTTGTCCAGTCTAACAGATCATTTGACTTTGTCAGACCAAATGTCTGACAGTGATTCAAAAATTTTGATAACTCTGCTCCGAAAATCACTGCACAGTAAATTCATTTACAGTTGTATAGACTTTACATTTGTATATGTCCTAATATACTTAGAAGCATAGGTGAAATATTTGCAAGATTTTGCCATGGTTTATTTCCTTCATCACATGACTATTAATTGTTTGGAAGTTTGAAAAATAACAATAAAAAAAAGTTTCAGCTTGTTATATGATCTAACGTAAACGGTTATAATTTGTTGTTTTTCCCACTTAAAATTTACATACGTACATGTAGTTCGAATGTCAGACCTGGCTGTTCCGACTTATTTTATCAAGAATTTCATATGTGAAATGCTTATAAATTTTATGCCACATGAAAACATCTTCAAAAAGCTTAATCTAGTAATTTATCTTAAAGTTTCGCCTTTCTGAGTACGTTAATCACCTTCTCTTCAATTTTCTTCCTCTTCGATGTTAAACGTATTAGGATTCAATATTAAACGAACAATTGTTCATTTATATCCAAATCAATGTAATTTGTTTATTCTTTTGATGTGTATTGTATTACCAAATAAATATTGTTGAAAACTTCGAATATTTATGGCTAAAAAAAAGGTATAACATTGATTGTGAAATAATTTTTACCATGCGTCAGTCAATGCAAAGAGGTTTCGCGCAGTCTATAGTTGTCGTTAATTTCCCTCTCATTGTTTATAGGTGCCGCTGGTTCGCGACGACAATTTTCAACATTTTTTTTAGTTCTGTATAAATCAATTTTAATTTAATAAAAATATAGTATTCAAATTAAGTTAAATGAAATTCAATTGCATTTAGTTTCATATCATTTATCAAAATTAGATAAATTCAGAAAATTGAATGGACTATTTTATGGCGGACGTTTATGCAAGTTTACATTGAATATCACAGGAGTAAATTGGTCGACACAGAAGCCCCACGGACGGCCACTATATAATCAATACAAATTACTGCGCTTAGAAAGCCCGTGATGACCAAGGGAGATTGAACATAGTTCAACTCCCAAAAATCATGTTCAGTTTGTGAATTTAGTATTTAGAGTAAAGTTCTCATTATTGAAATTATGATAAACAAAACTTTTCTGAGGAAACTTTTTCTCGGCAAAATTTATTTTTTTATTAAAAAATAATGTGGTATTCTTGGGGATCGAACCCTAGCAATAAAAATCCTGAGTATCATTTTCTTTCGAGACTAGCACGCTAACCACTAGACCACAGAAGTCCTGATGAATAGTTGCATTTAAGTCATGTTTGTGATATGACCCTTGACTTAATGGACTTCAAGTATTTCTCGAAAAGATGCGAACGTTATGTCATAAAAGTATATTTTTAAGGTATAGTGGGTCTTTGCTCCATATTTTTGGTAACCAAAAAATGTATATTTTTATGCAAACTTTGAGGATTAACTTTCTAAAAAATGGAGCGAAGACCCACTCATATTGAAAGATAGTGTTATTGTATGAGAAAATGACTCTTTGCGCCCTCTTTAGTGTGTGTTTGACATTTCATAAGCAAATAATTTTAATCTTTGTGGGATTTTTGCAAATTGTACAGATTTTACATAAGTATATTTTAATGTTAGACGAAATATCAAGGAAAATTTTGATATAAGGCCAAAGTTTTTATTTTTATTTTTTTGGGGGGGGGGGGGTTTACGATTTTCTGTCTCATAAAAATGCATTGGGTGGTCGAAAAATAAAAATAAAAATAATTTAGGATTCAACAATTTCATTTTAAAATACCAGCAATGTTGATTTTAATAAAAATAATACACGTCAAAAGTAATTTTTAGATTTATTGACTAGATCACATTACTCTTTTTATTTAATTTTAATTCATTTCTAACTTTAGCCTGAATGTCATTTTCATTTAGTTCTGATTTTTGTTTGTCAATCAGTGCTTGGTTCATGATGTTCAACTTCTTTATGCGCTCTTCAGTGATATGTGATGTGTTATAAACCTCGGTATCCCCACAAACTAAAAATAAAAGTCCAAATTTAAGTTAAATTTAGATTGAAGAAAAATGCAATTTAATTGTTTAACAATATTAAAAGTAATTGATGTTGAAATAAAGGTTAACCGTTATAATAATTTGATCATGCAGCTATCAAATTTGTTCAACCTGCAGCACAAAAGCCTAATAATTTCTCAATCAAGTCCTTCTTTAAATTTTATATGTACCTGCACAGTAGGCAATGTTCATTATTTACTTAGTAATTCAAAGGGCTTTGATCTTAATTGAGTATATCAAATTTGCAAAGATTTGTATATTGAATTTACTTCTATAAATTAACAAATGTTTTATACATATTCGAATTTATCTAGTGAAACACCAGTCAGCGTTACTTCAACTAAGATGTATCTCTCAACACCAAAATTGGCCTAACTATTATCTATAGGTGTATCCGTGTCTGCTAGGTCAGGGCAGGGGTGTGCAATTAGCATCACCCAGCGCCTGGGGCTACCATAGTTTGGGGTCGGGCTAGTAGTTTTCTGCACAGAGATAGCCCCTTGGGCTAGTAAAAATCGAAACTACCAATGTAATACATGAGAATCTCTGTCGGTATTTTCACTCAGTTTTTGTTATTAATTTCCCAACCAATGAAAAATTTCCAGGCAGCATGCCCCTATTGTTCGAAAATCTCCATAATCTTATCCATTTTGCAGTACTACCTGTCTTATTTACTTCCAAAAACGATCGTTTTTTTTTAATCCGAATTTCCTCCATTCCTCTGTTTATGGTAAATGCATGCAGATATCTCATTAAATTATTTACGACCACTTATTCAACTGAAAGATAAATGTTATGTGGTTTACATAAAATATATTTGTGAGAATTAAACTTTAATTTTAAAAAGAATGGCATTAAACCCTGACGTTTTTAACAATAAACTATTTTTTCAATATTAGTTGTTATACCCCACTCCCATCCCCTACATTTGGGCTAGTAACTTTATTGTTGCCACTAGCCCGTGGGCTAGTGCTTATTTTTTTTAATTGCGCCCCCCTGCAGGGTTGGGCATGCACTCTCCATTATTACAGTTTGAATTTAACCAATTGAGACATTGCAATTGGAGAAAGGGATCATGCATCCAAGATTTTATTCACTTTTCCATGCAGAAAAGTTCTTTAAGTGTGTGTCATTGCTTTCAGTGAGGAATTACCTTGTTACATGACAGAACCGCCATTTTTGGTTTGCACGTGTTTATTTACGGTCACCTAAATGTTTGTAAAGGTCTCATATTATTAATAAGCGCTTATTTGACCAAGATGCATTCTAAAATTTAAAACCCACCAGTTCAGCTGAGAAAAATCCGGAAAATATGTCGGAACAAAGACATTATTTTTATTTTCATGATTGGTGAAAATTAGGGTCGGCGGAATCGTAAACCAAAAGAAAAAAAAACTTTGGCCTAATTGAGATTTAATTTTTCACCTTCATGTTTGTCATACTATAGGATTTTCGCTCGGCATGTTCACCCATCTCCTTAATGCATGATTGTGATGAGCAAGAATGCCTCTTTCAAAATTGTAAAATTCAAGTCCTTGTTTCAGGGGTTTGGTGTAAAGATTATATAGCAAAAATACATTTATTCTTTGAGATTCTTCCTGATTTCTCCCGGGCATCTAGGACACAGATTACAAAGTTGTAATGAGCAAGCGTATTTTTACCAGATTTGTGAAATTCTGGATCAGTGGGACAAGTGTTCTGGTGCTGGACAGGGCTCTATTGATATTGTAGGGAAATTAGTACTCTACTGAGAGAAGTTATTCCCCTTTGCTCTTCATCTATGATAAGTAATTACTTTTAATAATGTAATTGTAGAATAAAATGAATAAAAGAATTAAACAAGAATTTTTAATGTATAATACAAAAAGTAATTTCATAGTTTTTAATGGTTAGGTAGACTTTTAAGTAATAGATAAATAAAATTGAGACAAAATACAGTACCTTATCTTTGTACACTATATATTCTTCAAACACAAATAGAGGCCGATGTGTGAGGGAATGAGGCTCCAGGGTTTACTCCATATTCTCAAGAACTATCGTATCGTTTCGTCTGACAATGATACTGAAGAAAGGGAGTGTATTAGTACTGGCAAGAAAATAGATCTACTTTATGAGTTATTACTGAGTACTAGACTATTCTGTTGATCCCTAGTCATCCTATTTTTCTTGCTTTGGGGAAACATATCTTCATCTCTCAGTTTATTTTATTTCATGCTTTAGTGGATCCTTTACAGTGTTGTATTATACTCAGGTGACCGGTAAGGTCCTTGGGCCTCTTGTTTCTTACGTAATTTAAAGTATAGCACTAAGATTATCTTTACTTGCTTGTTAAATCTGATATCGAAATAACCTAAAGACTCAAATTTCGGAACAACAACTCTATTATTTATATTTGCAAAATAATAAATAAATGATTTTTAATTATTTTTTTTTGCATTAATTCAATATACAGGTAGAAAATGCTACAATTATAAGGTTGTGAAATTACAGGTAAGCGCGCAGCAGGAGGGCGGTGCTCGAGTCGGAAAGTGGTGGTCGACGGTGTGCTCCACACCTTTGATCACTCCTGCCAGTACTTCACCGTCTCAGACAGAAGATTCGCCAAAATTGTCTCATTCCTGCATAACAAGAATGCTGTTAAAATCTGGACAGGAAAGATCGGACATCTGAAATCCGGTAAATTTCTAGAAGATCCGGGTTTGACGCAAGCCTTTATTGGCACGGATGGTATGCAGTCCATTGCAGATTGCTTAGCGTCAAATGCCGACGTACAGAGGCCCGTCTGGATCAGTGAAGTTTGCTGGGAGGAAGGAAGTAAAAAATGGAAAGTCGACGGATTCGGATTTTTTGATTACTTGGTGGTAGCACATAATGGGAAATGTGCAGACAAATTAATGTCGTCTGCGGGTGCACCACAAGTTCACAATCTTCTCCGCGTAAGATTTAATGACATACTGAACCCACGTGATCAGCGAATGCATCTGTGTTCTTTGTGGGTGCTTCTTGTTGCTTTTAAAACTTCACTTAAATTAAAGTACGATGGTGCTCATGTTGACCACGAAGACATATCATGGATAAGCAACAATACTTCTAAATACCGAACTACTAAAGAAACATGGTCTACCAAGAAAGACACTACAGAGTGTTGGACAATCATTAGTACAAAATCCTTCGGAAAGGCCTTTAAAGTGCCACAAGAAAACATTCCACCTTCCACTGAAAAAATGGTGACAGAAAAGTTACTTTCGGCTTTCAAAACAGCACTATCTAGAGACGATCTTCCCACCCCGTGTTTCACTAGCGTACAGCTCTGGGGAGCGGCTGTTCCGATTAACACCCTGGACAATGGGTCAGACTGTGTGTTTAATGGACGTTGTCACTTGGGAGTGTGCGGGGATTGGTTATCCTCCCCGTGTATTCAGGGTGCGGCAATTAGTGGATTATCATTAGCAGAAAAGATCCAACAATTCTCCTCGGGCAAGTATTCAATCGATATCTATTACCTAATGCATCGTTTATAGATAATAATTTCAACCGGGAATTCGTATTCAATATCGATAAACAATCTATCTGACTTTTTTCAAGCAATGTTTCATAGAACCATTTAGATATAATGATTCTGAAAACAGCAAATGTCTTTGTCAAATCAAAATTATTGTGTTGCACGCATTTGCTTATACCATTTTTGTGCACTTCAGTATCTTTGTTTTAAATACGATAAAAGAATAGGGTGCAGTATTTGCTGGACAATGGTAATTTAACTAAATTATTTTTGTACTTTGCGATAATACACTCCTAAGCAGGTGTGCCGGTTTCCGATGGTTGACTTTCTAAATATGACCCTTTTCCCTTATAAAACATAGTTATTTCTTTCATTTGCAGGACAATTCGCTGTAAATACCAGTTTACAAGCGACATTTAAAGCAACATCAACCAGTGCTATCGGAAGCTTCCCAACGGACAAGTCTTTGATATTTTCTCCTCAAAGTTGATTTTTTTTTCTACAATAAAGATTAAAAACATACATCATGCAAAATGTTTATACTTGTTTCTCTGGTGAATTAACATTCAACAAATGGAATGTTATAGGTACATTATAAATGCAAAATACCGGTATCGGAACTGCTATTTACCGGAAGTTCCTAGTCTCCTCAATGTTTTGAATACAGTAGCTAGAATTCTACCGTTATATTTTAATTAATGGTAGTTTTTAATCAGAGGGTCTTCCTGAGAGTGAATTAGAAAAAAATCTCGAAAAAAGAACCCATCAAGGATGACGAATTTTTTTTTCTTCATGCTCTGCAGTACTAGGTTTGTTTGCATCGTAAAACTAGCTAGATGAGTTTGGTGCAATGAACATTGAAGTATAGAATATTATCATCTGGCACAATTAGGTATTACTAACTCACTTTAATGGACGAATAATATAAATGTAATTAAAGAAGGTATATAAATAAGTTAATTATCTTTCAAGTTGTTGAAATATGACCCGCTTAGGGTTTCTAGATTGCATGCTTCAGGACATATGGACTTGCTCAAAAGCTGCAGAAAAGGTTAAATAAAACCGGAATAACCATTTACGTCTGGGTCGCGTTCTACAAAAAAAAATGTAATTTTGCAATTTATTTGATTCTTTTCGTTGATCTTCTTGAAAAAACATTCAGTTGTAATATTTTTATATACATTTAACCTCACACAAAATTATGTTAACCACATGTTAACTGTCTACTAATTAGTCATTCATTACACTTCCTTTCTACAGTAAATCACCTGTATACTGCCTACTAATTAGTCACTCATTACATTTCCTTTCTACAGTAAACCACCTGTGTACTGCCTACTAATTAGTCACTCATTACACTTCCTTTTTACAGTAAACCACCTGTATACTGCCTACTAATTAGTCACTCATTACACTTCCTTTTTACAGTAAACCACCTGTATACTGCCTACAAATCAGTCACTCATTACACTTCCTGTTTACAGTAAACCACCTGTGTGCTGTCTACTAATTAGTCACTCTTAACACTAATTCCTTTTTACAGTAAACCACCTGTATACTGCCTACTAATAAGTCACCCATTACACTTCCTTTCTACTGTAAACTTTCTGTGTACTGTCTACTAATTAGTCACCCATTACACTTCCTTTCTACAGTAAACTTTCTGTGTACTGTCTACTAATTAGTCACTCATTACACTTCCTTTCTACAGTAAACCACCTGTGTACTCCTTACTAGTTAGTCACTCATTACACTTCCTTTGTACAGTAAACCACCTGTGTATTGTCTACTAATTAGTCACTCATTACACTTCCTTTTAACAGTAAACCACCTGTATACTGCCTACTAATTAGTTACTCATTACACTTACTTTCTACAGTAAACCACCTGTATACTGCCTACTAATTAGTCACTCATTACACTTCCTTTTTACAGTAAACCACCTGTGTACTGCCTACTAATTAGTCACTCTACACTTCCTTTTTACAGTAAACCACTTGTATACTGTCTACTAATTAGCCACTCTACACTTCCTTTTTACAGTAAACCACCTGTATACTGTCTACTAATTATAGTTACTCTTTACACTTCCTTTTTACAGTAAACCACCTGTATACTGTCTACTAATTATAGTTACTCTTTACAATTCCTTTCTACAGTAAACCACCTGTATACTGCCTACTAATTAGTCACTCTACACTTCCTTTTTACAGTAAACCACCTGTATACTGCCTACTAATAAGTCACTCATTACACTTCCTTTCTAAAGTAAACCACTTGTATACTGTCTACTAATTAGCCACTCTACACTTCCTTTTTACAGTAAACCACCTGTATACTGTCTAATAATTATAGTTACTCTTTACAATTCCTTTCTACAGTAAACCACCTGTATACTGCCTACTAATTAGTCACTCATTACACTTCCTTTCTACAATAAACCACCTGTATACTGTCTACTAAGTTGTTACTCATTACACTTCCTTTCTACAGTAAACCACCTGTATATTGTCTACTAATTAGTCACTCATTATACTTCCTTTCTAAAGTAAACCACCAATATACTGCCTACTAATTAGTCACTCAATACACTTCCTTTCTACAGTAAACCACCTGTGTATTGCCTACTAATTAGTCACTCATTACACTTCCTTATTACAGTAAACCACCTGTATATTGCCTACTAATTAGTCACTCATTACACTTCCTTTCTACAGTAAACCATCTGTATACTGCCTACTAATTAGTCACTCATTACACTCCTTTTTACAGTAAACCACCTGTGTACTGCCTACTAATTAGTCACTATTACACTTCCTTTCTACAGTAAACCACCTGTATACTGTCCACTAATTAGTCACTCAATACACATCCTTTCAAGAGTAAACCACGTGTATATTGTCTACTAATTAGTCACTCTTTACACTTCCTTTTTACAGTAAACCACCTGTATATTGTCTCCTAATTAGTCACTCATTACACTTCCTTTTTACAGTAAACCACCTGTATACTGTCCAATAATTAGTCACTCATTACACTTCCTTTCTAGAGTAAACCACGTGTATATTGTCTACTAATTAGTCACTCTTTACACTTCCTTTTTACAGTAAACCACCTGTATACTGCCTACTAATTAGTCACTCATTACACTTCCTTTTTACAGTAAACCACCTGTATACTGTCTACTAATTAGCCACTCTTTACACTTCTTTCTACAGTAAACCACCTGTGTATAAACTTCTAAACCATTTGCCTATCTGCCTTTTTTTCAAATATTATTTTTATTAGACTTATTAATCATCCATATTATAGGAGAAATCTGGGGAGAAAAAACAATTCTTCCATTTAAAAAATCACAACCTACACATATTTTATCATGTATAATGTAATTTATTGCATTCATTGAGCCTGAATATTTTGTTAAACAATAAAAAGAGAGTGCCCAGCAGCACTAATTTATTGTAAGTTAGGAGGGAGAAATAAAACACATCCTCACTTCTGTTTGCTAAGAGGCTTTTGGGGGGTGGGGGGAGGGGGATAATTAGACCATTAATAAATTCATATTTATATTATTGTGGTATCAAAAATCAGGACTTCTATATCAGCAACAAATAGCTGGGTATCTTTGTGTATATATATATATATATATATATATATATATATATATATATATATATATATATATATATATATATATATATATATATATATATATATATATATATATATATATATATATATAAAGGAAATTCTGTGTGGTGTAAATCTTGAATTTTTTTTTTTTTTTTTGGATGCACATACATTTGTCTTAAGTACAAACTACCCACGAAATTCAAAATTTACATGTTGAGTTGATTGTATAGTTCATGTGCTATTGGGATGATTTCCTTCTGTTGAAACATCGATGTTTTTACTTTACACTGTAGTAATGAATCAGAGAGATCCCCCCCAAACACCTTAACCCTTCACCTTAAAATAGTTAAAAGTAATTATAATTACTATATAATTACTGAGATTAAAATCATGTACAAATACATAAAATATATATGTATATTCTACTCTTTTCAAATTGATACAAAAGAAACACATTTACTTGGAATATAAAATTTTTATTTTCAACAAATTGCACTTCATTTTTAAAAACAGGTTGGTAGTGAAAGCAGACATTGTACTTAATAAAAAAAAAAGTATGGGGGAAAAATTACCACAATTTAAGTTGCTTTTAAAACAAATATCTGTAAATTGAGTAGTGGGCCTCGACGGTCTCACCTGAGTGTCATGAGTTTCCAATAATTACCTAAGACATAGGAAATAATCTATTCATACTCAAGTTTTTTATGCTGCTCTGTTGTAAATTATGGCCCAAACAAACTTTTATTGTTCTTTTTGGTGAACAATAGAGGACAAACTTATCACAGCTTTGAGCCCCCAAATCCAAAGGGAATGAATCTCAAATTTTAAATTAAGAACTCATTGGTTCACCTCCAAAAGGTTTGCCTACTTGGTGTTGTGGAATCATATTAAATACCAGTATAAAGCATTTTTCACCCATGGCTCGAATCCTGGGGGTAATAAATTTCATAACTTTTATTACTCATTTTGAATGCCGCCAATTTTGCAGCTTGATTTCAATTATGGTAGAAAGAACAGAGATATTTGAATACTTGCTATAGTATTAAATTTTGTTGTTATTCAACCCTTACTCAAGGGGTAGGAATCATAAAATTTCAAGCTTTTTTTCCCTTCACCTATAAATTTTATACATGTATATCAAAAGTAGTTGAAATTGGTTCAGCCTTTTCTTGGAAGAAGCTGGAAATATTCTGAAGTTTAACCACAATAAGAAAGGAAGAAGTTGGCAACAGGAAACTGAAAAATCAGTGCAATGGTTGTTATCTCAATCTTATTAGGGCCGAGAAAAAATGTGGAGATATCTAAGGAATTCGTGATATTGAGTTAAAATACATTAAGAAAAAGTGGTTGGGAATCATTGATGTTTGAGATACTGAAGTTAAACTGTATCAGAAAATGTGGAATTCAGATCCCCCAGAAATACAACATATTGTTGTTTGTCTATCCTTCAAGATGAACAATCTTGCAGTACTGAAGTTGATTACCTTCACAGCTTTCATCTTTCAGTTCTTTTGTTATTTATTCAACAATAAAAACTCCAGCTTTTGGAGAGAAAAGAACAATTTCAGCATAAGTGTTTCCACTTTCCAGCTTCCCTGATTCTCTCAGATCTGTTTTACAGCAAAACTTAACCTCTCAAAACAGAAGATGTCTAATACAAATACATGTAAGACCATCATTATTAAATAATTTTAAAACATTAAAAATGTACATTTGTATCGAAAAATATTAATAATGTATTCTTGAAATGATTCAAATGGTAAAATATGTCCACAACACTTAAATCACATACCGGTATATAACAATTTTATATGTTACCACTGGTTTTATTTCACATCAATTCAAATCTTTCATTGCAGTATTTCTGTAAATCAAACCACCACATCAATTGAAAACTTCCTAAAGGAGATGACAGTATCAAGTAAAATGAGCCAAAGCATACAAAGGAATTTCTTATAGAGTGTGTTCAAGGAGGATTAAGAGAACTATTTTTTTAATGCCCAAATTCTGAACTTTTACATTATAAATTATTTAGAAATATATTTTTCTTTAAATTGGGGGAGGGATACTGAATTATTAACTTGTCATGTAGAATACACCATAACAAATAGGTTGAATTCATCACTAACTTATATAGATACTATACATGTATGGTCAAAAATGCTACAATCAAACGTATTTTTAAAATACATGATTAAATTAATTATAAAGCATCATTATTTTGCATCAAACTTAATTAAGTGATGAAGATAGATTAGGACATAAATGTGAAACACAAACATACATGTAGTCTACATAAACATGCATGAGCAACATACAGTTTAAATGTAGAAAAACAGTGAAGCCTCCATTCTAAAATATGATGTAGTAAAAGCACTAAATAATGAAATAAAATGTTATGAAAAAATGGAAACAAAGTGTACTACCTATCTGGTGGGAATTGATTGGAGGAATTATGTAAAACTGCATTGACTTTCTCTTGCTTACTGTACAGTATGGTTCATTACAAATTACATCAACAGAACTGTCTATTATTAAACTAAACCACAATATTGGTAGAAATTAATTGTGGTATTAATGAATTAATAATTAAATAGCTACAGTTAGCACTTGTATCATCCATGTCACTGTTCCAGCAGTTTCTGATCTGCAATAAAGAGGAAGATTCAGCTCTCTCCTGACGATTCCTCGACTCGATGCCCTATTTATAACGTTGTTGTGTTATTGTCAATAAGTGTCATAACAGTATAAGTAGATCTGTGGGAATCAGGAATTCTCTAAACTGTTCCAGTTGATATCTTGGAAAAATGGATGTGATTTAATGTCCTCTGCACCATTCATACCGTTACCAAGTCGCTCTCGGGGATTAAAACACAAAAGCTGAGAAAAAATCAATACTTTTGAAAACTGACTTCAGTAAAAATATCAAGGTGTTAGAAGTATGTGAAAAAATTCTCACCGAGAAGAAGTATATGTCTGCAGCAAACTTATTGATGTCTATCACATAGAAAATACAAGCTTTCATAAAACGTATTGATGTCTATCATTTAGTAAATACAAGCTATCATAAAACTTATTGATACAACACAACAAATATAACTGTTCAAAACTTATGGTCAAGGTTAAAGTTTTTTCCAAAAGTAGGTCAAATTCCAAGGTCAAAAATATTTATATACCCAATAGAAGGTCTTATCACAAGGATTACATATAGGAAGTATGAAAGCCCTAGCATCAGCCATTTAAAAGTTATGGCCAACGTTAAAGTTTTTCAAAAGTAGGTCAAAGGTCAAGGTTGAAAGGTCAAATTTGTTGGTACCCCAAAAATGTTCTTGTCACAAGGAAAACATGTGTGAAATATGAAAGCCCTAGCACCTACTGTTTAAAAGTTATGGCCAAGGTTAAGTTTTTTCAAAAGTAGGTAAAACTCCAAGGTCAAAGGGTCAAAATTGTTGGTACCCAAGAGAAGGTATTGTCACAAGGAAAACACATGTGAAATATGATAGCCCTAGCTCCATTCAAAACTTATGGCTAAGGTTAAAGCTTTTCAAAAGTAGGTCAAACTCTAAAGTCAACATCAAAAGGTAAAAAATATTTGTACCCAAGGAAAGGTCTTATCATAAGAAATACACACATTAAATGTGAAATATTCAAAACATATAGCCAAGGTTAAAGTTCTTCAAAAGTAGGTCAAACTCCAAGGTCAAAAGGTAAAAAATATTTGTACCTAAGGAGAGATCTCATCAAGTAATACACATGTAGCACCTACCGTCCAAAAGTTATAGCCAAGGTTAAAGTTTGATCTTTGTTTATAGAGTCAAAAAAATGTGTTTATGTTCCTGTTCCTTAATTAAGTCTCATGTCAGATTTTTTTTGGCAATGAGATATATGACACACCTGTTTCTGCAGTGTTACATGTTCAGTAATGAGATGTATGACACACCTGTTTCTGCAGTGTTACATGTTCAGTAATGAGATGTATGACACCCAGTTTTAGATCACTTTAGATATACTGAGATTTATATATGATGACTTACCTGTTTAAGGTGTCCCTGAGCTTACTGAGAGATGTGTTAGAATTACTGAGATATATATGATGACTTACCTGTTTAAGGTGTCCCTGAGCTTACTGAGAGATGTGTTAGAATTACTGAGATATATATGATGACTTACCTGTTTAAGGTGTCCCTGAGCTTACTGAGAGATGTGTTAGAATTACTGAGATATATATGATGACTTACCTGTTTAAGGTGTCCCTGAGCTTACTGAGAGATGTGTTAGAATTACTGAGATATATATGATGACTTACCTGTTTAAGGTGTCCCTGAGCTTACTGAGAGATGTGTTAGAATTAATGAGATATATATGATGACTTACCTGTTTAAGGTGTCCCTGAGCCTACTGAGAGATGTGTTAGAATTAATGAGATATATATGATGACTTACCTGTTTAAGGTGTCCCTGAGCCTACTGAGAGATGTGTTAGAATTAATAAGATATATATGATGACTTACCTGTTTAAGGTGTCCCTGAGCTTACTGAGAGATGTGTTAGAATTACTGAGATATATATGATGACTTACCTGTTTAAGGTGTCCCTGAGCTTACCGAGAGATGTGTTAGAATTACTGAGATATATATGATGACTTACCTGTTTAAGGTGTCCCTGAGCCTACTGAGAGATGTGTTAGAATTACTGAGATATATATGATGACTTACCTGTTTAAGGTGTCCCTGAGCCTACCGAGAGATGTGTTAGAATTACTGAGATATATATGATGACTTACCTGTTTAAGGTGTCCCTGAGCCTACCGAGAGATGTGTTAGAATTAATGAGATATATATGATGACTTACCTGTTTAAGGTGTCCCTGAGCCTACTGAGAGATGTGTTAGAATTAATGAGATATATATGATGACTTACCTGTTTAAGGTGTCCCTGAGCCTACTGAGAGATGTGTTAGAATTAATGAGATATATATGATGACTTACCTGTTTAAGGTGTCCCTGAGCCTACTGAGAGATGTGTTAGAATTAATGAGATATATATGATGACTTACCTGTTTAAGGTGTCCCTGAGCCTACTGAGAGATGTGTTAGAATTAATGAGATATATATGATGACTTACCTGTTTAAGGTGTCCCTGAGCCTACCGAGAGATGTGTTAGAATTAATGAGATATATATGATGACTTACCTGTTTAAGGTGTCCCTGAGCCTACTGAGAGATATGTTCATGGAGGTAGATGGGGGAGAGATATGTGATAACACCTGAGATGATTAATCTGTTTCGAAATTCCCTGAGATTCTCCTATATTTTCAAAGAGGTAGATGGGGGAGTGAGATGTGACTCCACCTGATAAGATGACTTACCTGGTTAAGGAGTCCCTGAGTCTTCTGTGAGATTTCTTTACAGAGGTAGATGATGGGGGGGGGGGGGATTCCTCCTGATGAGAGGGCTATCCTACCTGTTTAAGGAGTCCCTGGGACTCTCCTTTGAGATAAGCTCAGGGAGGTAGATGAGGGAGTGAGATTTAATTCCTCCTGATAAAACTATTCACCTGTTTTAGGAGTCCTTGAGCCTCCTGTGAAATATGTTCAGGGAGATAGATGGGGGAGTGAGATGTGATTCCACCTGGATGACAGCTTATCAGACTCTGAAGTAAATAAGAAAATCAATCATTTCTTGATATCAGTGTGTAGTTACAACCCTAGAAACTTGTAAATGCAATACCTAAAAGTGGAATCTGATGTTGACAAGCTTATCTAACCCCATAAAAAGTAAAACATATTAACTATTAAATAATCTTTTATCCACAATTCAAACCTTAGCATTAGAGTAAAACTTTGCTTTTTTTATTCCCAGACCTTCACAATATTTTATTTTTATTTATACAGGCCTTAACAAGAAAATAGCATTGAAGAATTTAATATTACCAGCTGTAAAGTTTGGAGATAAAGTTCTTTTGTCACTTACTCTGCCGACAAGTAGTTCATACATTAGCGCTCCGACACTCCACCAATCACAGCTCTCGTTATATCCACCCACGCCTATAACCTCTGTAATTAGACAAATATAATATTAATTGCTTGGAAGAAAAAAAATCTCAAGTTTATATGTGTCAAAACAATTAAGGTTATTTAAAAAATGTAGTTTTGGACACTGACACACGCAACGTCATTACGTTTTCAGTAAGTAATGTCAACATTGTTTTGAAGCGGCCTTACTAAAATGATCATTAATACTGAAAAAGATAGATATTTTAAAAATTAGATTATATTTGCATTCAGAAAGAGTCAGGCTATCAAAATTGACCAAAAAGTCAATTTGTGAAATTTTGACCTTAAGGGCCCTTTTCTCATGACAGCAGTCATATAATTCTCTCATTATATCCACCCACACCCATAACCTATGTTATTAGACATAAACAATGGAAAGAGGTACCAAAAGACAATTTCATATTACTAATTTATCCCTCTTCATTCAATTTTGTGGAATACTGATTGGCTAAAAACAAATCAAACCACACCCTAAAATTTTCTAGTACATTCACTATCTCCAAGCAACGTGTGGATTTAACATCGGGCACAACATCCTGGTCTATGTAAATAGGTCATAAAATGGTGGCAAGCAAACGGTTTGTTTGTTGAAATTTAATGCTCATATCTTTAACTTTGATTGTGTAATACTGAGAACATATGATGTTCAATGAAATTATATTTTTATTTATATGTTACCAAACTGTAAACAAATCTTGTAAAGGTCTTCAGCAGGATAAATTCATTACACAGTCAGTTTGGGACTTTTTATGGAGTCATCCAGGGTGTGAAGTGGAAATCTGTATTGGGACTTAGCTTCACCTCATCCAGTATGCATTTCCATTTCACACCCTGGATGACTTTGAATTATGTCTTGAACTAGCTGTGTATCTAATACATGTAATACATTTAGATAAGAAGTACATGTACATTGCTGCCAAGAAAAACTTGAGTAAAACCCTTTCAACTTCGCACAAGCTAATTACCTGGTGCCACAAAGAGTTCCTCAATAGCTAAAGGATCCAGTCCTTGTTCCACCTGGCTAAGGGTACAGAAGTAGGTCAGTAGGACATGACCTCTCTCTCCCAGCAGTATGTTGTCTGGTTTCAAATCCCTGTGTTAATGTCACATCATTATGAGACACATGTATAATTAGTGTTTTGCTCTTTCCTTCAAAACCTTTTCATAATTAAAATACATTTATATGCATATCTTAATTTGTCTTCCATTTAAAAAATTAGAGTGTTCAAGAAACATAAAACATTTTTTCTGATGACCTTAGATGTGACACTGAACTGCATTCTTTGTAATATTCAGAGGTTTCACATTAAAATGACATACTCTGATCATCCATGTAAACAGAGGCATACACTTTAAAGGAACAGATGTACTAAATATGAAAAGTTTTAATGATTCAAAAAAACACACCACATCAAGACCAATCATAGAAGCCCTTGCCTAACTAAGGTTAATAAATGAAGAGACAATAATATCCTATCTATCTACAGAGATTTTATAATTCTGACCTGCATATGATGCCCTGAGAGTGAAGCCTGGCCACGGCAATCACGATCTCTGCCATCCATTGTTTGATGCAGGCCTCGGGGATCAGAATCTGCTCAGTTTTACTGGCAGCCAGGTCAAGTTCCTGGAATACGTCTGACACTGTTCTCTGTCGTGACCTGGGAGGGGATGTCAGTTCATGTTCCATGGGAGCAGACCGACACAACTCCACAGAATTTAATCTTGTTAGAGATAACTTTGCTACTGGAATGTTTCTATTCTTTTCCACATTTTCAGTCAGAGTTGATGACCTTGAGGACTTCCTACTCTGACCTTCAGAGAGATCTGTGGGGAAATCATTCCTTGGAGAGTTGACTAGCGTATCTTTCCTATCACAGACAGAGTCCTCTGGTGGGCTAATACCCCCAACAATATGGCACTTTTGCTGATCCACACTGGATCCTGAAGAACTAGTCTCTTCTCTGTTTCGGTGAATATCATAAATACTGAGTTCATTAGAGTCACTGTCTACCATTGTATCACTGCTGTTACCAGATAAAACAGTGTCTGATTTTCTAACAGTATCACTACTCCTGTCATTACCCTGAACTGTTTTATCATCACCATACAACATTTTCTTGACCTCAGTATCGGACTCCGATAACGTCCGTTCCACTGATTTAATTAGGTCCCTAGCACTCTGAACTATAGACTCAGCATCCTCAGGAAGTCTCAACTCAATCCCCTCCTCACTGAACACATTATCTGACTCATTCCTAGGGAGAGAATGTGAGGGAGACAACTCACTTTCCTCCAAAATAGTGGCCACCTGATCGGACACAAAACTGTTCAGTCGACTATGATCATCCGTGCTGTCAAAACTGTTAATGCTGAAGTTTTCTAGGTGGGTTGTGTTACTTTTTAAGAGATCCTGGAAACTCGAGTCTCTGTTCTCGTATGAGTGACTCCTGAGTTCTGATGTATCACTCTCGTTAAAATTCTCCTCCGAGGATATACTCTCAAATCTACTGTAGTCCGGCTTCTTCCCTGATGGTCCTGACTCTGACGTTTTATCTTGAACACTGGTAGCAGATTTATTGTTAGAGTATCGGACAGTTATATCTTTGATTTCTTCTGCTAAAATATTCCTGCCTGTCATAAATTCCAAATCAGTGTTTCCAGTTTGTTGTAAGATTTTCAACACACTTGTTTGATTTTCTTTGCCCTTATGAGACTCATTAGAGTTAGGGATTGCATTATCATCCGTATGTAACTTGACACCTGAGTACACATTTCCTTCGTAAACCTGAGAATTGTCTACATCTCCGAACTGTTTGGATCCTTGCCTCCCTGTGAGATAGGAACCAATGTAGTTCCACAGTTTTCCTCCTGTCGCGTGGTGCAGGAGAAGAAATATACCGTACTCGGTCTCGTAAAACTTGTGGAGACTCACACTGTATGGGCTGCTGGAGGGAAGCACCGTCCTCAACTTCTTGGTGCAGAAGCTTGCCTTGTGAACAACCTTACAAATATCAAAATTACAGATCTAAATGTAATACAACATGTAGCAATCTTATAAATAAGAAAATTCATACATGTAGATCTAAATGAACTTTTTCTTTAGGCCACAATAAAAAAATTCCTAGATTCTCATCCCTGCCCGTCCCGATTTTTTACCCCTGCCTCGATTTTTTTTTATTTCTGTTTTTCTTCATCTTGATTCTGATCGGAATTGGTATTCAACTACTATTCAACTTTCGTTTTAAATCGGCATGAATTTGACAGCTGACAAATGGTTATTGCTGTAATATTGATATGTATTAAACAAGGATCACTGGTTGTGAAAGACTGGTGATGATGAGTAGTAAGAGATAAGTATATTTAAATGAACCTCTACTTTGACTTTTATATGGGCATTATAGATAAATCTGCACCGAATGATCAGGTCAATAGAAAATCTGCACAATGGAAAAAATAAACAAGAGGCCAATGGGTCACAACGCTCACCTGAGTCAATATGGCCCTGCTGTTCTTCGTCAGCAGATTTCTTCTCTTATATATTCATATAAAGCTTTGATGGCCTGTTCTAGGCATACCCTACCCCAGGTGCCATGTTATGAATGAAGCTGAATATAAACCTTCTGAGGATGCTGCTATATTCAGATAACTTATCATGGTTTTGCTATTCTTTAAAACGGAATTTTAAAGATGTCTGACACCCTACCCTGGGGTTGGGGGGTGGGGTGGGGTCATGATTTGAACAAACTTGAATGTACACTACCTGAGGATGCCTCCATATCAATATGACTAATCATGACTTTGTTGTTCTTGAGAAGAAGATTTTTAAAGATATTTCCTATATATTTTCTTTCGTAAAACTTTGATCCCCCATTATGGCCCCACCCTACTACTGGAGGATGCATTGAACAAACTTGAATCTACAATACCTGGGGATCCTTCGATATCAATATGACTAATCATGGCTTTCCTGTTCTTGAAAAGATCTTTAAAAATTTTTCCTATATATTCCTATGTAAAACTTTGATCCCCCATTGTAGCCCCACCCTACCCCCGGGGGTCATGATTTGAACAAACTTGAATCTACACTACCTGAGGATGATTCCATATCAATATGACTAACTCTGGCTTTGTTGTTCTTGAGGAAAAGATTTTTCAGAATTTTTTCTATATATTCCTATGTAAAACTTTGATCCACCATTGTGGCCCTGCCCTACCCCCGGGGGTCATGATTTGAACAAATTTGAATGTACACTACCTGAGGATGATTCCATAGCAATATGACTAATTCTGACTTTGTTGTTCTTGAGAACAAGATATTTAAAGAATTTTCCTATAAATTCCTATGTAAAAATTTGATCCCCCATTGTGGCCCCACCCTTCCCCCGGGGGTCATGATTTGAACAAACTTGAACGTACACTACCTGAGGATGATTCCATATCAATATGACTAATTGTGGCTTTGTTGTTCTTGAGAAGAAGATATTTAAAGAATTTTCCTATATATTCCTTTGTAAAACTTTGATCCCCCATTGTGGCCCCACCCTATCCCCGGGGGTCATGATTTGAACAAACTTGAATCTACTCTATCTGAGGATGATTCCATATCAATATGACTAATTCTGACTTTGTTGTTCTTTAGAAGAAGATTTTTCAGAATTTTTTCTATATATTTCTATGTAAAACTTTGATCCCCCATTGTGGCCCCGCCAACCCCCTGGGGTCATGATTTGAACAAACTTGAATCTACACTACCTGAGGATGATTCCATAGCAATATGAATAATTCTGGCTTTGTTGTTCTTGAGAAGAAGATTTTCAAAGAATTTCCCTATATATTCCTATGTAAAACTTTGATCCCCCATTCTGGCCCCACCCTACCCCTGCGGGTCATAATCTGAACAAACTTGAATCTACACTATGTAATGAAGGTTTCACATAAGTTTCAACTTTTCTGGCCCAATGGTTCTTGAGAAGAAGATTTTTAAAAATGACACCAAATTTTCACCAATTCTTAATTATCTCCCCTTGGAATAAGGCGTGGCCCTTCATTTGAATAAACTTGAACCCCCTTTACCCAAGGATGCTTTGTGGCAAGTTTTGTTGAAATTGGCCTAGCGGTTCTTGAGAAGACGTCAAAAATGTGAAAAGTTTACAGACAGACGGACAGACAGACGGACTACAGACAAAATGTGATCAGAAAAGCTCACTTGAGCTTTCAGCTCAGGTGAGCTAAAAACTTAAAATAAAATCTGCCTGCCCGCCTCAATTTTTCAAAAAAAAATTCGGATGAGAATCTAGGAATTGTTTAATTGTGGCCTTATAATATTCAAGCTAAAATTTGTGATACAAAAACATAAATATATGTACACTCACAACTCACAACAGTTTTGTCCATTGGTTAAATAAGCTTCACATGCTTAATGGGATTGTAAAAACATTTCTTTCTAAAAGATTCAAATTTCTAAACAGTGCCACCTTAATATTCATGAATTACTAAGTTTTTTTCTTTGATAAACATGCATGTAAGTTTCTTACTTTGATCAGCCTAGGTTCCTCATTTTGATATGCTAAGTTTCTCTCCTTTATAACCTTAGTTTCTTACCTTGATAACTTAAGTTTCTTATCTTTATAACCTAAGTTTCTTACTCTTATATCCTAAGTTTATTACTTTTATACTTATAACCTAAGTTTCCTACTTTTATAACTTAAGTTTCTTGATTGTCTAATCTAAATTTCTCTCCTTGATTTTAAACCTATAAGTTTTTTATGCCTAGATAACCTAAGTTTCTTACTTGGATATTCTAGAAGTTTCTGACCATGATACCCTATGTTTCTTACTTTGACAACCTATTTCTTATCTTTATAACACGTTTATCTTGATAATCTAGGTAAGTTTCTCTAGGACAATCTAAATTTCTTACCTTGACAACATAAGTTTCATCATTAGTTTTATCCATCACTAGCATCACTTTGTCAATGGTACCTAACACCTTAAAATTCTTCATTTCAGCCAGGGATCCTTTCAACATTGCAACTCCTGGATCAAGGTCCATTGATAGTGGAATTTTACTATTCTCCTATACTCATGAAAACCATTTTAATGATTATCCTTTCAATGTAACAGAGATCAATTCAGTAGGACAAATAATTTATGCCATTGTATATTCACTACAATCAATAGAAAAGAAACTTTAAATTGTTGTTAGACAAACTTAACTACATAATATTTACTCACTGATGCCCATCTCCTGTCATCCAGAATGTCTTTGGACAGGTGCCTGTTGTATAGATCCTCCGCCTTCAGTAAGTACTGAGCTGTCTTCCTCCGCACTGCATCTCTTCTGGCCTTGTTCTTGTCACCTGTAAAAGATACAAGAAAATATTTCAGAGAATCTCAAATTACCTATAAAAAAATATATCTTGAAGATAAACCCAATAATATTTGACCAATGTAGAAAATGATTGCTTTTTTTCATTCTTTGTCTTAGGAAGATAAACAGCAACACTAGCTGGTCAGTGTCCCCTCACACCGTTAAGTTATGGCTTGAATATCACTTGAAATAATTTTATTAATGAACTTTCATGTTATCAAGGAAGTAAAACTTTCCTCAATCATACTTCAAAGAGCTTAAATATTATCCAACCTTTATGGACAATCTTTTTGGAAGCTCTACTAAATACTCCTTGTGTGCTTTGTGAGGAAAAATATTGTATTCTGCATCATATGGTTGGTTGAAAAATAACTCTTTTCAGTTTTAAAAAATACAGAAAGGGAGGTTACTGGGTCTTATATCTTGTGTAATTTTAAGCTTGTTTTTTTTTTTTTTTTACAATTTTTAAATTACTTTTTTTGTTGTCTAATATTATCATCAATAGTGACAAAAGTTTTTACCCTGCACCCCTTTTAGAAGTGTATCCACGCCACTTTTGTAGTAACTGAAGGCCAAGTCGTATTTAGCATTGGCCTCACACTCCTGAGCCAGACAAATCTGATTGGCTGCTAAATAGATGTAATCCTCCTTCCCACCCAGATCCATAGTGGACACACTCTCTGCTGTCATGCTTCGTGTCTTGAAAGGACTTCTGGGTAATTTTTGCAGAAGAGATTTTGAAGGGCTCTGATTGGCTGAACTTATACCAGATAGCCCAGATAAATCAATGTCTCCTTTCCCACATTCCACTTTTGATCCACTCTTTTTCCGCAGTGGATCAAACTCCGATGTATCAGGAATTGTTGGTTTTGTGGTAGGTTGAGTTCTCTCTGCTACATCATGACTAACATGCCTGTCTTGGTTTTCTTCCTTTTCAAATGAGATCTGACAAACATGATAAATGTAAAATTCATTGTGTTTCAATCTTAACGTAAGAATTCATCAATAAAATTTTAAGCAATATGATGGTCACAAAACCTTTGTCCAGTAGGACAATCAACAACTAAATACATAGGATCCATCTCAACAATTTGCACTGTTATGCTGCTGAAAAGACAGAAATGCATACTGCTTTTCAGCAGTGTTTTTTATGAAATAAGTATGCAGCAAAATATTTTTTTAAGATCACAATGTCCTTAAATGATAGACTTCTTATAAATACATGTATGTACATTAAATTATCTTTTACCTGTATTCCTGCATCAGAGTCTGTCCTCATATCTTGGTCCTCAATGTGTAGCTCTTTTTCCATTTCTATAATTAAAGAATACATCAAAATATTAACTCTTCAAAAACATTAATGGGCATGAAATTTCAATGACACAATTAAAGAGTAAATATTTATAATTCTGTTCTGTGAATTTCCCTATCACGTGAATATCTGGTGTTTTAAATAGTTTTGTCAATCAAAAACCTAGCAATTCAAAAAAAATTCTTATATAAACTAACCCAACCCTACATTTCCCTTTGGACATTTTAATCCTTTTTTCAACAAAGAATTTCCCTCTCTGACATGAAAAACTAGTAACACATCAATTTAATTTCCCTCTGACATGACAGACTAGTGACACATCAATTTATTTTCCCTATGACATGATAGACTAGTGATGCATCAATTCCCTCTGACATGATAGACTAATGACACATCAATTTTATTTTCATCTGACATGATAGACTAGTGACACATCAATTTATTTTCCCTCTGAAATGATAGACTAGTGACACATCAATTCCCTCTGACATGATAGACTAGTGACACATCAATTACATTTCCCTCTGACATGATAGACTAGTGACACATCAATTTATTTTCCCTCTGAAATGATAGACTAGTGACACATCAATTCCCTCTGAAATGATAGACTAGTGACACATCAATTACATTTCCCTCTGACATGATAGACTAGTGACACATCAATTACATTTCCCTCTGACATGGTAGACTAGTGACACATCAATTACAATTACCTCTGACATGATATACTAGTGACACATCAATTACATTTCCCTCTGACATGATAGACTTGTGACATATTTTACCTGCACAGGTGTTCATGGCTAAAAATAGCCAGCTATTACTGGTCCTCAATGTGGATTCCGGGGGCTGCAGCTGGTCATCAGACATCAGGGGGTCAAAGAAAGAGATGTCAGAGTCAGGGAGGGGCGTTCCGAGGGTGGAATCCATCTCCCCTGTGTCTGTGTCATCTGTGTCATCATACGAGTTCAGGCTGATGTTGTCCGGTAACTGGGGAAAGTTCCACACACCATCCAGCTCTTCCTCTCCATTCCTGATAAAGTGAAGAAGTCAATACTACAAAAATCTTAACATGAACCCATCTAATATGTATAATTTTTATAGGTAAAGGATACAATCACACAACAAAAAGTGTTTCGTAGGACAGTTTTATCAGAAAATTTTTCCTACTTTAGGGTGTACACTTTACAAGAATAAAATTGTGTATTTTCTTACTGCTCTGATTTGTCGGTCATTCCCTCACTGGAGGCGGGGCTGTCTAGCTCCTCCCTAGGCAACTGATTGGTTGGTGTTAATGGTGATTTGTTATCTGACCTCTCACCTTTGTCCTCAGTCAGAATGTCAAGCTTAGAAGGTTTTAGCACCTCTCCAGAAGCTCCGGTTTTAATCTCACTAGCAGTCTTAAAATTGTATAAAAATATAGCATTTGCTTTCTTATTCTGTTTACTTCACATTAAATCAGACGAATTTTTAAAAAAGTATATGCTTGCTGTTCTGTATGATGTCAGATAAAATTAATTTTTAATTGGTCCATTCTGCTATGCAAGAAATACCAATAAAAAGGTCTCAAGCCTAGACACAATAATAGCTTTCAGTTGACTGTTCAGTATTGCTTACCTTGATAAAAGCTTTGAAGTCATTGGAATTATACAGATAATGGTGTTTTCCAATGAACTGCAGCAGTTTAATGGCACTTTGTCGTCTCTCCTCAATGACAGCCTCATCAAACCTCCCTGAAAGGAATAACATTTACATTAATTAATTCATTTCATTAAGATTATAATTGTGTAAATTACAATTTTAGGTTACACATTTTGAGATCATCAAAATATCTTACCAAATAGTAAAGGCCTTGCAAACTTTGGAAATTCCTCCTTTCTATGCAAGGCTTTGTGTAAAGACAACATGGATTTGTACAACTGTTTGAAGTCATTGTATCTTTTCCAAGTCACCACCTACAATGTTAACCTTGTTTATATTTACACCAATATCACATGATTTAGATTTATAGTGAGTTCTATAGACTAACATGTAAGAACAAAGGAAATTTGAACTGAAATCTGTACATTTGTCGAGCAAATTTTTTGTGAAACCTTCCCAGCATTCTTTCACAAAAGCAATTGAATGTAATAATGGCAAATATAATAGGCCCCCAGCTATTGTAAAGGTTTAGTTCTTGCAGCTTAGAGAGAGCTTCAAAGAAACAAAAAATAACTGCATCTACTCTAAAGTCTTTCATTAAAAAATTCCACTATTTAGACTCTGTTATGGAAGTGCAACTAACATGTGATGTCATGTGAGGGTAGACAGACATCTCAGCCCAATGACACCTCGGCCCATCAAGCTTGATATCTCGGCCCTGACAGGTCGGCCCAAGATTGTTGACATGTCGGCCCATATAAAAGACACCTCGGCCCAAGCATAATTTTATGATAAAAAAAATTAACAGATTTACCCAGCGTTGAATTAGTGTTATAATTCTTTCTGACGATTAAAGGATTTTAAAAAAAATGGGAAGGGGGGTCTTTGATAAATAATCATTTTATTTTTCCAACTTAATTAGATCAATCTTTCATTTACATCTACTACTTGTGGAAAATGTAAAAAAAAAAAAAAAATTCTGCAGTATCATGGTTACGATCGTTAATCTTGTATTAACAACAAAAAAAAGGACATTTTATTGTTTATATAGATCTGTATGTCTATATAAATATGGTATAAAGATATATGTAAAATAAATTGCATTTTTGGTTTGTACTTCATTTTATGTTTCTTTTTTGATAATCATACTTGCTTAGATATACAAGTAGCCTGGGGGGGGGAGGGGGGGGAAGGGTCTCAAACTAGTTATTAGCAATGATAATAAATTTATGAATGGAAGTTTTTTTCCCTTAAGAAATAAAGGAGAAAATATTCAATGGATGTAAATGTCTTTAATAACTGTCTCCCAATTAAGACTGCTCATAATTAAGGACATACGCAACTTACTACTGATAATTTTTCAAGATATTCTTAATTTAAGATTATAGTGCCATCAGATGTTCGTAGACAAAAAATCAGCATGCATTACCAGGGGTTTTGAAAAGATATCAATTGATGTTTTGCTTGGGCCAAGGTGTCTTATGTATGGGCCCACCTGTCTTAAATCTTGGACCGACCCGTCTGAGCCGAGATGTCAATGGGATGAGGTGTCGTTGGGCCAAGGTGTCTGACATTCCATGTGAGGACAGTCTAGACTATCTTGTGCAATTTAAAGAGGCAGATCAAAGTTACAAGTGTAAGCTATAGTAAAGGTTTTTGTTGTTATACAACTGCACTCTGCCCAAAGGCCGCACCACCAAACATATTATATAATATGATTGTTTGCAATATGCACCAAAATGTAAACATTAGTAGTTTATTCAATTTGTTAAGATATATTCAAAAGTTACAAGTTATGGTACCAACAAAGAATTAAATGAATCACAAAAGATTAAACTATTCAGTTTGGTTAAGAGCATCAAGCTGTCATGAAGAGCAACATGTTTTGGTACAACACCACAGCAATGGATATGACTGGTGGCCCTGCAGCGAGATCTTACCTCTGTTAAACTTTCTGGGGATCTGATGATGAAAACCTGTAAATTTGAGGGAATAATGTCAGTAATTTTAAACCAAATGGGTTCTGAAATATGTGCTAGTAAGTCAAAATAGACACCTTTATAAGCATAACAACAGTTTCAATATACGGAGAATCGGTCTGTCAGAGTCACCTGACATCCATGCACCTCCATCATGTATACATCAGCTCCACGCTCATTGTAGAATATACAACTAAAGATACTAACCCTACATGTTACTTTGTATATCGTGAAACCGTTGGGATGCAATGTTGGATCTGTTACGTCAAACGACCATATTTTTTCCTTGGAATTCGCATTAGTAGTCCTCCCTGCCATCGTCCATCATTATCATCAATGTCGTAAGCATTGAATTGTTTTTGATAAACATTAAAAATTTTCTTGTTGATGCTAAATCAGATCTGAATGTATGCTTGTACATAAAATTTATACCAAATAGATTTAATATACTGAAAAACTAGCCCATAAAATGGATTATCTATGTATGTCGTAAACAATAAATCCAACTTTCGGTACTTAGTCATTTTCTGTTTTTACATCGCTGAAGAGTTGCATAGTTAAACCGGTGTAATACCTCATAAGTTAGGTTGTCAAAGATGGGACTGTTAACTATTTTAAAGAAGATGAAGCAGAAAGAAAAAGAAGTTAGGTTACTCATGTTGTATCCTTTTATGACAAAAAGGGAAACGTGTCTATTATCTTTTCTAAAATAATAGTTTAGTGGTAATTGTTTTTCTGAATGACCGAAAAATGCGAGTGTGACTAAAATGGGTAGTAAAACCCGGGCCGGGCCGGGAATTTTAAAACTGAAAACCGGGTTTTTGCTAATTACATAAAAATACTGAATTCTTCATCACGAAACTTACAGATGTAATTGAATACAACAAAATGTGTCTTCGCTGAGAGTTTGAACACCAAATATTATGTTTTTCGATTATTATTAACGATTGTCATTTTCCCGGTGACTAAAATGGGTAGTAAGCCCGGTTTATTCATTTTGGTGATTTAAAGCTAATTATACTCAAAAATAGGATTTCTTTGTGTTTCATCGTTGTTTATTAATTTTAAGAACTTAAATATTACAACAATTGCAAAAATTAATGTCGATAATTAAAATAATCGCCGATTTTTGATACCCGGGACAGTCCAAAACCGGACGCGTTTGCCCGGGACAAACTTGAATATTCCGAAAAATTGCAATCAGATAACCCGGTGCAGAGAATAATGTAGAATTTATTTTAAAAAGTAAACCCCCCAACCCCCTCCCCCACAAATAATAAAATAAATCAACAAATGGAGAAAATAAATGAAATATACACAATTCTTTTTTTTCCTTAAATACTAATGGAGTTATGTATCTTAATTATTTGACAAGAGAAAGACTGTAGGCTACAGCTATATTCAGGTAATCATTTCCCTGAAATTACATGTATATGTCTGCAGAGCTAGCTTGGAACATTCTAAATTAAGATCATGAAGATATTACCAGTATTTAATAAAATCTACGCAGCTGGCTTGGTTCAGGACTCATCATTATCTCGGAAATTTAAGGTTCGTCCCGGGTAAACGTGTCCGGTTTTGGTCGGTCCCGGGTATTCAAAAAATGCATTTATTTTTTACAATCAGTAAATATTTATGAAATGGTTATCAATTTTTGACAGTTTAAATTCATTTCGATCTATCGTATACAAAAACTGCAATTATTTCAATAATATTAAGTACAAAACACCAAAATTTGTAAACCGGGTTTACTACCCATTTTAGTCACCGGGAAAATGACAATCGTCGATAATCATTTAAAAAAGTAATATTTAGAGTTGAAACTCTCAGCAAGGGCATATTGTATTGTATTCAATTACATCTGTAAGTTTCATGACAAATAATTAAGTATTTTTTCAGTTATTAGCAAAAACCCGGTTTTCAGTTTCAAAATTCCCGGCCCGGCCCAGGTTTTACTACCCATTTTAGTCACACTCAAAAATGCGCTGCACAATTCAGTGTCTTAAATTAACTCCCTCTATTAAAGGAGCCGAATATTGAGTTTATCTGATCAAGAGTTGTTGTTGTCGTAATCTTTTCTCTATTTCATCTTTCAGCTTCTTCTCAAGCATCACTCGGCCAATTTCTTCTTCACTTAAACAGGTCTAGGCGGCCTCTGTTTTTGGAGGATAGATTTTATCCTCTGAAAACAGAGGATAGCAGTCTTGCCACCTACCGGAATTTTCAAAACTAAGGGCAGTTAATTCTTAACCAAACAAATAACAGCAACTCTTGCATTTATGAACCGTACGCTGATTTCGAAATAAAACAAATAAAAGGTACAATTTCATATGATGATGGATAATGCCAGATATTAAATCAATATAACTTTTTTGTAATTGCCGTCAGTCAGTTATTCGGTATACAGCTTGGAAAACAAATATTGCACGTACCTGCCTGTGACTGAGGTTAATTATAACCACGCTGATTTTCCAGTACCGGAATTATGTGATAAGCACTTTAGAAATTTTGATAAACAATTTTTTTTGAAAAATTAAGTTGAATCATTTATTATTTCTTTCATTTAATAATTCTTAAGCACATCACTTTGTAATATTTTATTTGTTTATGTATACACATGGCTATATGAATATATGTTTATTTCTTAGTAAACATATCAAATTATTCATTTTATTTACTTATGCTATTCAATTTATTTATTTATTTTTATAATTATTCATTCAATCCATTTATCAGTTTGTTTATACTTTTATTTGCTTAAATTATAAGGCAGAGTATATTTTGCATTTTAAATACGCTTAAAATGTGTTTCCTTTTTTTTTTGAATTAAACGAAAATATTAAAGAAACATTAAAGTCCTTTTTTATTTGTTTAAATAGAGAAAATCATAAGAAATAAATCAAAACAACAAGAAATATTCAGTAATAGTGGAGCGCAAAAAGTGCTAACTTTGAAAATAAATTGCAAAATATCTAGACATAGAATCTCAAATCGCCACATACAATCAATAGTTTAATGTTTGAACTTTTATTTGCATGTACTCTGGTGCTTGCACTTTTTGATTAAAGGTAGGCACGAGGTGTTTGAAAATTACCTGTGTTATCCTCTGAAATCGGAGGATAAACTATCCCACAATGCAACGCGGTTTCCATATATGGTAAAAATTTTGGCCGGCATATAGAATTAACCTATCCTCCAAAAACGGAGGCCGCCCAGACCTGTTAAAGTGAAGGGCCTTGAAGGCATCATTACAAATGTTAGTTCTAAAACGGCACAGGTGCAAGGGAGAGCTAGTCCTCTATTTACAGTTTAAAAACTAGTTGAAAGATTACTGTCACCTAGTGTTTATTAATCTTTGCCAAACCCTGCCTTGAATCACTAAATTTCAAGAAGACCTGAATAGTTTATAACAGTGGGAAACAGACTGGTAGATGGAGTTCCCAACTGCTGAGAGTTACAAACAAATGCAAACCTGTGGCTAGCTCTCATAACATCCATGGCCACAAAATGGAAGTACATTTAGTAGACTCTGCCAAATATCTGGGGTAGGGCTGTGTATTGAGAAAAAAATTTCGATACAATACGATACAATATTTTATGAAGCGATATGCGATATATTGAATTCTTTAACAAGTCTATCAAAAAAGTTTTGTAAATCATTTAATGCATAGATTTTATAAAAACTAGGTGTTTTATAACCCATTTCTAAAATCTTGTCTCACTGTCATTACAAAATTCACTTCAAATTCATACTGAAGCAAAACTGAAATCAAGATCAATTATCCCTTCGTTTCTCGGTAGTTACATTGTGATGACTTCCTGTTTCTTTGTTCCTTTCGGTTCTCAGCAGGTCACGTGACCTGAAGTGTGTATATATACGGAGACAGTCGGGTTGTTTGAAGCAGTCTGTTGCTGACTACTGACTTGTAAAGACAGTCTAGATCAGAAGAGCTGAACGTGGTAGGTACTGCAAGGGAATCCTTGAATAAAGTCTTACGTGCCTGAATTAGGCTTTCAGGACTTTGGTTGGTTATATATATTTATATAAAGTACCTTTATACATTTGTGTGACTGAAGGCAAGAAGCGAATGCGCTTCAGTCCTTGGAAGGCGCGTGCGCTCCCGAGGAACGAGAGCGATAGTGTACATATTTCTAATTTAAATTTGTGATTGAGAAAATTGATTAATTCTTAAATTGTTCAGATAGAACAACCGAATCCCATAAAAGAACCCGGAAACGTTACAATACTTTTTAATGACTGTAATACCAACATGTTAAAATATAGCTGTCCTAGTATTTTGTAATACTTATTTGTTATGTGCTATCTCCTTCATGTTTATATCATTATTGATCAGTTTTAATTGAAAACAGTTAAATATAATCTTTGGTGATTGAAATTTCCAACTTTTTCACAGAATTATAAGAAAAACTGCCTGCCCGATACGTATTGGAAGTTTTTTTTTTCCGATACGATACATTCTTGAATATCGATACTTATTGATATATCAATATATTGATACAGCCCTAATCTGGGGGTTACCATTCACAAAGAGCCTCAGATGGAATGAACATATTGACATCATCACAAAGAAAATCAGCCCAGAGCTTTTATACAATGCAAATGAAATAGTACAGGGTGTTTCAGCAAACATGTCCCGACTTTGCGGATTCAATATCAAGTTACACAGTATTAATGTAAGAAAATTTTTGCAAAAATGAAAACCACATAAACTAAATAATTTTATTAATATGAAATTTGAAGTAATGCTGAATCAATTATTTTTTAAGACAGGTATTTTTAAAGTTTGAACATCAGCGGCAGTTTTCAATTTAACGTCTTTTTTTTTGTGCAATGTTTTTAAAGTCAGCATCCTCATTTTGTCTTTGAAGTCCTGTATGGTATACATTTTGACATCATTTGAAAAGTCTGCTCCTTAGAAAGATGGTTTTCATATGAGTACTTCTTTTTTCAAAATTTTATGCACTAAAATTGGTGATTTTGGAGATTTTCTGTTTGTATTGTTTAGTTCAAAAACAAATATAGATCGATTTTTGGAGAAAAAACCTGACTATCTGATTTTTGAAGATGTAATCAAAACTTCAATGGAAAAAAATAAAATGATGTTATTTTATATTGTTTATATCACAATTATATTGCCGGAAAATGTGCTATATATAAAATACAGATATAATTTTGTAAATATTTTATTATTGTACATTAAAAATATAGACATCGAAAGTCGGGACATGTTTGTTGAAACACCCTGTACATGTAAAAACCTTTAGTGGAGTATGCATCTACTGTATGGGACCCACATACAGCTCACACCCAGAAACTAGAGGCAGCAAAAAAGACAATCAGCTCATGATGAACATCTAGCAAACCAGCAGTGTAAGTTATCAGTGCTAAAAACTCTCCAGCAGACATCTTTGGAGGAAAGACAAGCCAGGTACAAAGCAGTAATGATGTACAGGAAAGTGCACAGCCTGGCAGCTATTCCACGATCAGAGCCATGTACAACCAAGTCTGCAGGCAGAGTACACTCATACAGATTCCTGATACAATATGCAAGAACCTTAGTTTCTTCTCAGACAGTAACAGGATCTGGAACAGTTTGCGACAGAGATCATTGGACAATACCTTCCTGGACATAGAAGTCCTGGCCTACAAACTTATGTTAATCACATCACCAGTCATTTTAACCAGTTTTTAATCTGCACCTGTAGATATTACACATGTTGTCACACCTACCCAATTTCTTTATTCCTTGTAGTCTGCTGAGGGCATGCAAACATTATTTTTTAAATTTTCGCCTTACAATTTTACATGTATTAAGTTTACTTACTTTTTTCCCCAATGTCCTTGTATGATCTTTTTTACATTATTTTATTTCAATATCCATGTGTATTTTAATCCTTAACATTTTAAGAGGCTTAGATAATGCTGGGAAAACTACAATTTTAAAGAAATTCAATGGAGAAGATATTGATACTATATCTCCAACCCTAGGTTTTAACATCAAAACCTTAGAACATAGAGGGTGAGTTAAAGTTTTAATTACTTTTGCTGGCTTTGGACCTTGTGTTTGAAAATAAAATTAATCTATTTAATTTGAAAAATCCATGTCTCATACCTGATTTATAGAACTAAATTTAACAAGCAGTTTATATGTAAAATAAATGTTGACTATTTAATAATCAACCAGTTTGTGTTATCTTCTGAAGGGATTACTCCCAGTTATATGGAATCTTTTATTGCTCTCAATCAAATTTTATAGATTATTAATTTATTGAAGGCTTCAGAGCTCATACCTATAATTCCTATGTATATATTTTTGTTGTAGGTTTAAGTTAAATATTTGGGATGTTGGTGGACAGAAATCATTGCGATCCTACTGGAGGAATTATTTTGAGAGTACAGATGGCCTGATTTGGGTTGTGGACTGTGCAGACAGAATGAGACTTCAGGATTGTAAACAAGAACTCCAGTCGCTCTTAGTAGAAGAGGTACACCAAAGTAAAATTTAATCATCACTTCACCATCAGCTCCAAGTCTTAAACTTAACTTGCATTTATAAAGCAGATGTAAATTTGTTGAAATGTAAAGCAGAGAACAAATGTACATTGTTAACGGAATGCCTATAAAACAATGTAAATTGTACTGTAACACAATCTTTACTACAAAGGTTAGCAGGGGTGACTTTGCTCATGTTGTAAATTGTATACAATCTTTATTACAGATTTACTCCTGTTTGTAAATTGTAACAATCTTTATTACAGATTTACTCCTGTTTGTAAATTGTAACAATCTTTATTACAGATTTACTCCTGTTTGTAAATTGTAACAATCTTTATTACAGAGGTTAGCAGGGGCGACTTTGCTCGTGTTTGCAAACAAACAAGACTTACCTGGAGCTTTGCCAGCTGAGAAAATACGAGAGGTACAACGTATATTTGTTTAAACAATAAAATGCTTTCTTTGGTTGTTAGTATGGGATTCAATGTTCAGCTGTTGCTGAAAAAATACATAATCTGCTTAAGCAGATGTAACTTTTCAGCAATGTTAATTCCCATACTGGCAAATAAAGAAAGACATTGTATATATTTAGGTCTGTATAAATAATCATATAAATATAGTAGGTTTAAGTACCAGGTACATTAAATATTGTATTATTGATATGTACATCATTGTATGTTTCATTGACGGAAGAGCCACCAGGGATTTATTTTAAAATATTTTATTTGACTACCGTTTTCATGTAAAGGGGGGGAAATAAGAATGATTGCTTGACATTAGCACTGGGTGTGAATTTACAATGAGAATCCCAGAACATGCTCCCCTGGAAATTTTCAGATAAATGTAGCAGAAATCCGCATTCTGAGACCTAATATGGGGATCATTTCTAGAACTTTTATAAATAAATAGATTTTAAATGTTATATGTTTGTTTAATCAAGGGAATTTCTGAAACTAGAAGGGGAATTTTGACTTTTTTTTTCAAAACGGGAAATGTACCTTTTACCAGTAGTTAAATCAGCATCGATAAATCCCTGGCCACTGTTCAAGAAATCTATACAGATGGCTTAGCAGCGTCAAAGTATTGACCGTGGTTTTCATAAGAAATAAAGGTGATAATATTCAGTGGATGTAAATAGAATACTTTTAGCATTATAAAATTTGCAACTAAACCAAGTTCAGATTTAAAGGATCCTGACATTTCTCTTCTCTCAGTTGTTAGATCTGGACAGTATAAAGACACACCACTGGAGGATTCTGGACTGCAGCGCTGTAACGGGTGAAAACCTCCTCAAGGGTATTGACTGGATTATAGACGATATTGCCTCAAGGATATTTACTATGGACTAGTTCAAAATCCAGGCATTAGCTCATGCATTATTATATGCTATATGATATTAACTTGCTTACCGAGTACTGTCAAAGCATAATCATCACAAAATAGTTTTTGTCTGGCTTTGTGAAGGGAAACCCTCAGTGAAGAACCAAAGCTTGAGTAGCCATGGAGCTTAATGTCGACCTCAGTATTTATGTTGTTGAAATCCTATGTACTTGCTATAGTACTTAACATTGCTGTGTCTAGAATGGTAATCTTATTTTTCTGAAAGTCAGAAATCTGCCCTTGTATCAGAATTTCTGCTCTTATTGGTAATACCTCAATAAATAAAAAGTAAGAAATGTTGTTTGTTGATTTTACCTTAAAAAACTTTAGACATTTAAAAGTATCCAATGTTCTCTGCCTGATATAGATTTAGATCCTACAATATACAATAGGCAGGTGGTATAATCTGTAGTATAAGAATTGAGATTAGTGCTCTGACAATAGACATGGGAAGATGGCAGCAGCAGGTAGCATAGAATCTTCTAAACGTTTATAAAATAGATGTAACAAATTCCTGTTTGTAATGAAAGATCATATTTTGTAACCAAAACAAATTATTCACCGGGTATGGAGATACAAGTGCAGCTTTCTTGATGATTCAATAACCATGTTTTCCTGTATTTTGTAGTATAATTTGCTTTTCCATAGAGACTTTTTTTAAATTTATAAATACACATACATGGTTGTATACTTGAATCTACAGTTATGGAGTAAACAGTGCACATATGTATTGGATATTACATCTTTAAGCTACCACAGCTATCTGTCAATTACAGCTTAGATAACCTTGTAATCTTACTGTGATTAACATTATGCCAAGTTGATTTAACAATTCAAAAATTTCTATTACAATTTCTGTAGTGAAATACTGTAATTTATCTGTTGCATAAAATTGACATTTTCACATTGTGAAAATAACGTGAATGTCAAAGCACAACACCATATCCATATGACAGCACAAGTCTGGAAAACCAATGTAATTAACATAAATACAATACTTTTAGTTGGGTGTGGAATGTCAAAACATACGTAAAGATTATGAAGCTCACCTCAACAAATGTTATCTACAAGTAAGGCAAATCTCAAGTTTGGTTTTGATATGACGTATAGTTACTTGAGAATGAACCTGCTCCACAAAGTTAACTCGTCTGAAAAATGTAGGTCAGATCCAGCATTCAAAGAAAATGTGGTTGTGTATTCCTAGATGCATCATCAAAGCAAGTCTGGTAGAGCTTATAGTTGCTTGGGAATGGACCTGATCTAAAAACTTAAAACTTGGTCTCTAATCTGGAAATTGTGGATCTGTTCAGCAATCAAAGCAAGTCTAATACTCTTAATTCCTAGATGCATCATCCATGCGATTGGTCCAAGTGGGCCTAAAAGTCACTCATCTGGAAAATGTAGGTCAGATCCAGCATCCAAAGAAAGTCTAGAAGTGTCCATCCCTATATATTGCATCATCCCTGCAAGTTTGGTCCAGGTAGGGCTTATAGTTCTTTGGGAATGGATCTGCTCTTAAAAACTTTAACATAGTCACTCATCCAGAAAATGTAGGTCAGATTCTAGATGCATCATCCATGCAAGTTTGGTCCAGGTAGGTCTAATACTCAAATGTAGGTCAGATCCAGCATCCAAAGCAAGTCCAGTCGTAAGCATCCCTTGCATCACCCATGCAAGTTTGGTCCAGATAGGGCTTATAGTTACTTGGCAATGGACTTGCTCCTAAACCTAAAACTGGGATGCCGATGCTGGGGGTATAGGATACCTCATCTAGGTGAGGTAAAAATCCTGTCCCACTCATGATGTAAATTCCACATCCAACTACAAAACACTGAATAATCCTCTACATAGAATTTTTGTGCTATTTCACCATCTCTCGGGGACTCCTTATGACATATGGGTCAGTTTTTCTTTATTCAGTAGTTTTGACTGCTGTGTAAATCTGTACATCACTACTTTGGACAGATTTAAGTAATATGCAAATGGATGAAATAAACAAGTCTAAATCTTCATCTATATAAATAAATCTTTATTATGGCTTATTAGGGAGGGGAGAACTTGATGGAATGTAGTGTGTTGTCCAGGCAACCAATAACTACTTCCTGTACACCATCACTGTCAATATCCGCTGTCTCCACGCCGCCGATCCAATCTGAAGTGGTAAACTTGTCCAGGAGCTATAGCAACATAAAGTATTAAAATATTATACCAGTACAAAGGTTAATGTCCATTGCTGAATGGTAAAAATATATATAAAAAAAAATTATAACCTATGAGCTTGTTTATACATGTATTTCAGAAAACATTATCTATGATATCTATATGTGTATATTTAATGTTAAAAAGGTGGCATGAAACATCATCAATCCATACTAAGTACCTTTAATATACTAAGCTCCACCCCTCCTTTTGGACACATACTAAGTACCTTTAATATACTAAGCTCCATCCCTCCTTTTGGACACATACTAAGTACCTTTAAATAAACTAAGCTCCTTTTTGACACATTTCAATTTGTTACCCACCTTGCCATCTGAATAGATCAGCAGTTCATTGAAGTAGCCAGCACACAAGAGAAGATCCTGCTCCAGATCTGGGAAGGGGAGCTTACTCAAGCTGGTGATGGGATACTGAGCATTGGCAAATTCTGTTATCTACAAAATGAAAAAAAAATCCAATAACTATGTCATAAGTATGTAGATTGGAGAGCCAAATAAATGTCAGTGTGAGACAGGACAGTGGTAGGTATGTCAATGTGAGACTGGACAGTGGTAGGTACCGGTATGTCAATGTGAGACTGGACAGTGGTAGGAATGTCAATGTGAGACTGGAGAGTGGTAGGTATGTCATTGTGAGACTGGAGAGTGGTAGGTATGTCAATGTGAAACTGGAGAGTTATAGGTATGTCATTGTGAGACTGGACAGTGATAGGTATATCAATGTGAGACTGGACAGTGGTAGGTATGTCAATGTGAGACTGGACAGTGGTAGGTATGTCAATGTCAGACTGGACAGTGATGGGTACATAATGTAAGTTAATGTGAGACTTGAGAGTGTAGGTATGTCAATGTGAGACTGGACAGTGGTAGGTATGTCAATGTCAGACTAGGCAGTGGTAGGTATGTCATTGTCAGACTGGACAGTGGTAGGTATGTCAATGTGAGACTGGACAGTGGTAGGTATGTCAATGTCAGACTGGACAGTGGTAGGTATGTCAATGTGAGACTGGACAGTGGTAGGTATGTCAATGTGAGACTGGACAGTGGTAGGTATGTCAGTGTGAGACTGGACAGTGATAGGTATGTAATTGTCAGACTGGACAGTGGTAGGTATGTCAATGTGAGACTGGACAGTGGTAGGTATGTCAATGTGAGACTGGACAGTGATAGGTATATCAATGTGAGACTGGACAGTGGTAGGTATGTCAATGTGAGACTGGACAGTGGTAGGTATGTCAATGTGAAACTGGACAGTGATGGGTACATAATGTAAGTCAATGTGAGACTTGAGAGTGTAGGTATGTCAATGTGAGACTAGACGGTGGTAGGTATGTCAATGTCAGACTAGGCAGTGGTAGGTATGTCATTGTCAGACTGGACAGTGGTAGGTATGTCAATGTGAGACTGGACAGTGGTAGGTATGTCAATGTGAGACTGGACAGTGATAGGTATGTCATTGTCAGACTGGACAGTGGTAGGTATGTCAATGTGAGACTGGACAGTGGTAGGTATGTCAATGTGAGACTGGACAGTGATAGGTATATCAATGTGAGACTGGACAGTGGTAGGTATGTCAATGTGAGACTGGACAGTGGTAGGTATGTCAATGTGAGACTGGACAGTGGTAGGTATGTCATTGTCAGACTGGACAGTGGTAGGTATGTCAATGTGAGACTGGACAGTGGTAGGTATGTCAATGTGAGACTGGACAGTGGTAGGTATGTCAATGTGAGACTGGACAGTGATAGGTATGTAATTGTCAGACTGGACAGTGGTAGGTATGTCAATGTGAGACTGGACAGTGGTAGGTATGTCAATGTGAGACTGGACAGTGATAGGTATATCAATGTGAGACTGGACAGTGGTAGGTATGTCAATGTGAGACTGGACAGTGGTAGGTATGTCATTGTCAGACTGGACAGTGGTAGGTATGTCAATGTGAGACTGGACAGTGGTAGGTATGTCAATGTGAGACTGGACAGTGGTAGGTATGTCAATGTGAGACTGGACAGTGATAGGTATGTAATTGTCAGACTGGACAGTGGTAGGTATGTCAATGTGAGACTGGACAGTGGTAGGTATGTCAATGTGAGACTGGACAGTGTTAGGTATGTCAGTGTGAGACTGGACAGTTGTAAGTATGTCAATATGAGATTGGAGAGTGGTAGGTATGTCAATGTTAGACTGGAGAGTCATAGGTATGTCAATGCGCTACTGGACAGTGGTAGGAATGTCAATGTGAGACTGGAGAGTGGTAGGTATGTCATTGTGAGACTGGACAGTGGTAGGTATGTCAATGTGAGACTGGACAGTGGTAGGTATGTCAATGTGAGACTGAACAGTGTTAGGTATGTCAGTGTGAGACTGGACAGTTGTAGGTATGTCAATATGAGATTGGAGAGTGGTAGGTATGTCAATGTTAGACTGGAGAGTCATAGGTATGTCAATGCGCTACTGGACAGTGGTAGGTATGTCAATGTGAGACTGGACAGTTATAGGTATGTCATTGTGAGACTGGAGAGTGGTAGGTATGTCAATGTGAGACTGGAGAGTGGTAGGTATGTCAAAGTGAGACTGGACAGTGATGGGTACATAATGTAAGTCAATGTGAGACTGGAGAGTGTAGGTATGTCAATGTGAGACTGGACAGTGGTAGGTATGTCAATGTGAGATTGGAGAGTCATAGGTATGTCATTGTTAGACTGGAAGTGGTAGGTATGTCAATGTGAGACTGGATAGTGGTAGGTATGTCAGTGTGAGACTGGACAGTGGTAGGTATGTCAATGTGAGATTGGAGAGTCATAGGTATGTCATTGTTAGACTGGAAGTGGTAGGTATGTCAATGTGAGACTGGACAGTGGTAGGTATGTCAGTGTGAGACTGGACAGTGGTAGGTATGTCAATGTTAGACTGGACAGTGGTAGGTATGTCAATGTTAGACTGGAGAGTCGTAGGTATGTCAATGCACTACTGGACAGTGGTAGGTATGTCAACGTGAGACTGGACAGTGGTAGGTATGTCAATGTGAAACTGGAGAGTGGTAGGTATGTTAATGTTAGACTGGAGAGTCGTAGGTATGTCAATGCGCTACTGGACAGTGGTAGGTATGTCAATTTCAGACTGGACAGTTATAGGTATGTCAATGTGAGACTGGACAGTGGTAGGTATGTCAATATGAGATCAGAGTGGTAGGTATGTCAATGTGAGATTGGACAGTGGTAGGTATGTCAATGTGAGACTGGACAGTGGTAGGTATGTCAGTGTGGGGCTGGAGAGTGGTAGGTATGTTAATGCGAGGCTGGAGAGTTATAAGTATGTCAACGTGAGACTGGACAGTGGTAGGTATGTCAGACTGGACAGTTGTTGGTATGTTAATGTCAGACTGGAGATTGGTAGGTATGTCAATGGGAGACTGGACAGTGGTAGGTATGTCAATGGGAGATTGGACAGTGGTAGGTATGTCAATGGGAGACTGGACAGTGGTAGGTATGTCAATGGGAGACTGGACAGTGGTAGGTATGTCAATGTGTGAGTTGAGAGTGGAAGGTATGTCAATGTGCTACTGGACAGTGGTAGGTATGTCAGTGTGAGACTGGAGAGTGGTACATATGTTAATGTGAGACTGGACAGTGGTAGGTATGTCATTGTGAGACTGGAGAGTGGTAGGTATGTCAATGTGAGACTGGACAGTGGTAGGTATGTCAATATGAGATCAGAGTGGTAGGTATGTCAATGTGAGACTGGACAGTGGTAGGTATGTCAATGTGAGACTGGACAGTTGTAGGTATGTCATTGTGAGACTGGAGAGTGGTAGGTATCTCAATTGGAGACTGGACAGTGGTAGGTATGTCAATGTGAGACTGGACGGTGGTAGGTATGTCAATGTGAGACTGGACAGTTATAGGTATGTCAATGTGTGAGTTGAGAGTGGAAGGTATGTCAATGTGAGACTGGACAGTTATAGGTATGTCAATGTGCTACTGGACAGTGGTAGGTATGTCAATGTGAGACTGGAGAGTGGTACATATGTTAATGTGAGACTGGACAGTGGTAGGTATGTCAATGTGAGGCTGGACAGTTATAGGTATGTCAATGTGTGACTTGAGAGTGGTTGGTATGTCAATGTTAGACTGGAGAGTGGTAGGTATGTCAATGTCAGACTAAGCAGTAGTAGGTATGTCAATGTGAGACTGGACAGTGGTAGGTATGTCAGTGATAGATTGGACAGTTGTAGGTATGTCAGTATGAGACTGGACAGTGGTAGGTATGTCATTGTTAGACTGGACAGTGGTAGGTATGTCAATGTGAGACCGGACAGTGGTAGGTATGTCAATGTGAGACTGAAGAGTGGTAGGTATGTCAATGTGAGACTGGACAGTGGTAGGTATGTCAATGTGAGACTGGACAGTGGTAGGTATGTCTGGACAGTGGTAGGTATGTCATTGTCAGACTGGACAGTGGTAGGTATGTCAATGTGAGACTGGAGAATCATAGGTATGTCAGACTGGTGAGTACTCCATTCTTCACCCAATCCCTTATTCATTGTTTTTTATTCTAGTCATCCATATTAAACTGTATTAGTATGAATAGGCACTGAAACTGGTACTGTGAAATCATTAATGGTAACTTTCGTGAAGGGGTTTAATTTTCCTTGTTTTTTGGTAGTATGATGAGACCTATGAATTCATGTCCTCCATGAAATGTAAAAATGGCAAAGTACAGGTTTAGTACATTTCTTCTAGCACAAAATCAAATCCCCATGAACCTAATTTTTTTCCTTAAACCACAAAATTTGAACCCATTAATATAAGTTATTTTACAGTATACATGTAGTCAGGCCGCTGGGAAATGAACCATGATATAAGTTGTCTCTTTTGTGATGTTAGTTTGTTTGTGTATGTTTACATGTATGTGTAATGCATTATCAAGGTCTTGCAATTGGGAAGTGAAGATACTCTCATTCCTGTGAGTCAGTAAGCAGGAGAATTGTTGGTAAAGACTGTCCAATGCTGTTTGTACTTTTTTCCCCATTGCCTCCTAACTATGCTTTCCCATCCTCCCCTCTATCAATTTTTTAATTTTATACAGGCTTTTATCAACATGTAATACTGTATACAGGGAATTTGCCCTAGACACAAGTGGGCAACTTTAAGATGGGGCGAATTAAAAGAAAAAAGGTAGAATTTCTTAGACAAAAACTGTGACTGGGCGAAATTAAAATGGGGCAAAATTGTTTGCAAGTGTGAGAGGGCGAAAGTAACACAGGATGAAAATAACCCTTTATACATAGTGATTACCAGTAGTTAATCTTGAATTAATCTTGATTAATTAATCTTAAACTTGAACTACCTAGTCTTGAATTACTTAAAGAACTCACAGAAAAGTTGTGGAAAATAAAGAGAGCTCCTGTGTCTGACCCCAGAGCAACTTGTTCTCCTGACCTTGACTCTGATGTGGTTGACAAGGTCACTGGTAGCTTCTCTGTTTTTACAAAATTTCCACTGCACATCTGTAAAATAAGCACTGGCCAGGAATGATGGGAAAATATAACTGCAATGTACCCAGATGACAGAAAAGATAAATTAATACTGTAAGATGCCTTTCATTCGCCTGCAAAAAAATTATCTTGAGTTTCTTGACATTATTCTACTCGTGAATATTTTTCCCCTCAAAATATTTAGTCAAACCTCATTTTCTCAAATTTGATGGGACCGAGAAGAAACTTTGAGATATCTGAGGGTTCGAGATATTGATGATAAAATATGTAAAGAAAAAGTGGTTGAGACTTCCAAATTACTTCAACATACCCATGGTATTCAAGATAGCAGTGTTTGAGATACTGAAGTTTAGCTGTATTCAGTTCTGTATTTATGTACCGTAATTTTTGGGGTATATGTCGATGGGGTATATAGGTCGAAAGGCTCATTTTCAGCCGTAATTTTTAAAAAATCCTTAGATAGGACGAACTCGGAAGATAGGACGAGGCTTTGTTTATCGATTTTCTAGAGATTCTTACGTAGATACTACGTATCAGAACATGTAAACCTCTTTAACTTAACCCGTAATATTAACGTTTTGATAAATTAAACTGGTATTTTTATGAGTACAATATTTTAATAGTGTTTTATACAAACAGAGTTAAAACTTCCATGAATTTGATGTAACGTATTTTCTCTAACTTGCCTGTTCAATGCCGTCGCAGGGCTCGACATTAACATCTTTCCCTACTTGTCCATGCGGACAAGTGACCAAGACATTTACTTCAACTTCACTTGTCCGAAAAATTTTTAATAAATATCTAATACTGTCAACTGGAAAACTAAAATAAAGTCCATTACACATGACATGTGCTTGATTGATTCGTGATGTTATTGATAAATACAACAAACACATAAAATGAAATTTTATCTAGTCTTTCTGGTCTGACAACAACATAAATGTCCACAAGTGAACCAAACTTCGTAAAGTTCATAAGTTCCATGCCTTTTCAGTAGTATGCAATTAGTGAACTTGGATCCCGATCAAATTTGAACTCATTAATAGCGATCCCTATCGGGATCGAAGTCCGGTTTTTATGTACAGCTTCCGTCTTGAAACTACCGATTAACTTTCAACAGTCGTTTTTTTTAAATTATTTAGAGACTCCTTTACATTAAAATGCACTTGTCCAATCGGACAAGTGCCCAGCAATATTCACTTGTCCGTAATTTTTTTTCACTGGTACCGGACAAGCGGACAAGCGTTAATGTCGAGCCCTGCGTCGTAGTTTGACTCAGTCGTTAAACACATAAATACGGTAGTATACAACAGCTATAATTAGGGAAATACCCGAAATCAAACAATAATCATTTCCATTTTAGAACATCGTGGACACATTCTTTTATTCCGACATTATTTACCGGGGAACAATATTAACTTCGGTGACAGCCCATTTTTATATTTCTTGTCCAGGGATTTGCTAAAACACGCAATTGACTATTACATGTAACAGTGAGCAATTGAAATTAATCATATTAGCATGCTATAATTTTGCTTGAGATATTGTTGTACAAAATAAATTTAATTGAGAGTACATTCGCAATTTAACAGTCATGATGAATTTCCCAATTTAATTGAGAGTACATTCGCAATTTAACAGTCATCATGAATTTCACAGTTTTGTTTGTTCGATGATTTATAGCACTAATACCCCTGTAACGGCACGTGGATCTGTTAATGATGCCCTGCAGGTGTTTAAACCAACACCTTTGTGTACACAGTGTATATCCCTTTATCTGTCAGACAATTAAAATTCTATTAGAAGCCAATCTTTGTATAATTCAGTGTACCCCTTGGGATATAAAACAAAATACTAATGACTAGCGGTATATTTTGTAAATAATTTTAGGAATTTACTGGCAACAATTTATTTCACGCGTTTTACATTTAAATAAATGTCACAGGACAATGAAAAAATATTTAGGTATACTATTTCAATTAGTCGTTACAAATAAATGTTAAAAAAAAATTACAATTGCGATTGTGAAAAACTCTTCCGTATTTTAAGCGTTGATACGATTTCGGTTTTATTTTTAGTAAACGATTGCGACTTCCAACTTCACAAGATGGACACAGCATGTTGTAAATATACTTTGAGACACTATTTACTAGATAATATTATAAGTTTTTTTGTACATCGACGGATATTTAATGGAACTTATTTTGTGAGAAATCAATGGAATAAATATTTAATTCTATATTGTTTATTTTTTTCTTGGTAAAATAATTTTAAAAAATACGAAAATGGCATATATTTGCTTTAAAATTGACGTAAATTTTACTGATTTTGGGGCATTTTTCGTAAACTTGAGCCATAGATAGGACGATTCGTTAAATAGGACGACCCCAGCGGTTCTGAGAAAAAAGTATCGTCCTATCTTCCAAAATTTACGGGTAAAATAGTTCCTCAGTCACAAAAAGTAACAGTTGCAGATTGATTTCAAACTGATGGATCATAAAGAAAAGTTATTGTGAATAATAGTTGGTTTACAGTTTTTACTCCTCCTTCTTGGACTCTACCCAACTTGTTTCTGTTTGACGAAAACAAAACACTTCCCTTATTTTAGCATACAATGTATAAGGGGGATTTTTTTCAGATAGAAACAAGTGCCTGTGCTGCATACCATGCTAGTAACATTGCATTAAAGCATCAATTTTCTGACGTTGAGGGTTAAATGCACTTTTTAATCGGCTGATAAGAGAGAGAATAATTACTTATAGACTTACAGCGGTGATGATGCTGGGAGTTTTTATCACCATGACAACAGCCCCTTGGTGGATGACGTACAGTTGACAGTCACTGTCTGACACAAGGACGTAACTAGATCTCTGATTGTGTTCATTAGTGAGGTTCACTGTCAGCTGACATTTCACTGACAAAGTCGAACTACACACCTTTGTGAATTAATAAAAACAAAATTAATACATGTACTAACTAAAATGCTAAAATAATGCATATGTACTTTTTTCCACATGAGATTAATTTACCCTGTGTACTTTCAGCTGAAATTTTACACAGCATATTTTAAGTGCAGTCAAGACATACAATGCCAATCCAAACTATCTGCATAATTTTCTACCTACGGGTTGAACAGAAATTGTGATTCCGTGGAATTATGCCCGTAGAAAAAAGTACATTTACAGTATAAAGGCATTTCTGTCATTTATTTCTTAGATACAAATCTAGGACATGAAATTAAGTCTTAAGCTCTGAAAGGTGAATTCCAATACTGTAGATTCCTTATTTTTCGAGAGTAGTTATTATCATGAAATGGCTCTTTAACGTCAAATCGCGAGAACAATAAATCGTGAGTGGACGATTGATCAAGAGATTTTACATAGATTTTAACACCATAAAAATAAAGTAATTTTATTTCGCAAGTGGTGTTTCTCACGAAAATATGCAATAATTAATTCCTCGCGTATATTTAGGAATCTACAGTACCTTTAGCTCTAAACCTGGTCCAGTGGATATACAGGCTTTCAATATCCTTCTTAGGTGGAAGTACAAATAAATATAATAGACAATATACCAACACAGAACACTGCACAGAAAAATGTAATGAATCTTTGGCCGAAACCAGTCGACTTATTAAACTGTCATGTATCTCTACTTTGTATTTTGTCTTATGTTTATATCTCAGAAAGCTTAAAAAGGCTTAGCCTGCTACCTATTCCTATTACACCTATAACAATACAGTATTTTTCCCTAAAGTTAAAATAAAGGAATTTTTTTTAAACAGAGCTTTTCTTCTTTCCACTCGTTGACACATTATGTACATATGCCCCTCCCCCTCCCTCCCCAACCACTGCAAGGAAAAAATTGGTAACGGAACAATTCTTCCAACGATAAATATAAGGAAATGGGTTACCTGATTTAACTTAAGGTCATTCAGATTGATGCGCCACAACACATTTGATGGAAGAACACCACACACAACACCACTATCACTGCTAAGTATGATAGCCATATTACCAGCTGTAGAATATCAGAAAATGTCTGTCAATTCTTTATCAATAGCCATATTGCCAGATGTATAAAATATCAGAAAATGTCTGTCAATTCTTTATCAATAGCCATATTGCCAGATGTATAGAATATCAGAAAATGTCTGTCAATTCTTTATCAATAGCCATATTGCCAGATGTATAGAATATCAGAAAATGTCTGTCAATTCTTTATCAATAGTCATATTAACAGCTGTAGAATATCATAAAATGTCTGTCAATTCTTTATCAATAGCCATATTACCAGCTGTAGAATATCAGAAAATGTCTGTCAATTCTTTATCAATAGCCATATTGCCAGCTGTAGAATATCAGAAAATGTCTGTCAATTCTTTATCAATAGCCATGTTACCAGATGTATAGAATATCAGAAAATGTCTGTCAATTCTTTATCTATAGCCATGTTACCAGATGTATAGAATATCAGAAAATGTCTGTCAATTCTTTATCAATAGCCATATTACCAGCTGTAGAATATCAGGAAATATCTGACAATTCTTTATTTATGAGATCAATCAAAAACTGAAATTAAGATTTAGCATCGTGTATTTTTCTTTATCCCCAGAATGATTAACAGATAAGTACATGTACAACACTCTGTCAATTGTCATAACTGGGACCACTCTACGTTCTCAACAATTACTGTAAAATTAAAATACAACAAACAGAATGCTTTTAGCTCTGTAGTCTTTTTTCCTTAAGAACTTACTTTTATCTTTTTGTATCTGGAGACAGTTGAGACAGCTGTCTGTGATGCTCTGTCGACATAAAATCTGACGATTACAAAACACTGTCATCATCCCACACGAATCAACAGCCACTAAATCATTGTGATAGAATTTTGTGATGTCCTCTATTTTCATTGCCTGAACTGGACCACTCTTTGTCTCCAATGAGAGCTGAAGATATATCAAATAAACGATACTGTAAATAGACGTACTTTTTTCCCTGTGGGATTAATTTACACTATGTATGCAAAATTTGTTAAAGCACACTTTAAAGGCAGAGATTTTTTACCGGGTGGTAAATTCCAGGTGAGGGAGGGGCTTATTTTGTACAGGTGTGAATGCCTTGAGGGCTAGCAGTCTACCTGTGGTTGTTTGTCTCCTAATCCCTATACACAGGAAGTGATTTAATACACAGTAGAGTAACGAAGAAGTCAAACTTTACCTGTGTTGGGATTTTGAGATTATTTTAAATTAGAAATAAAAAGTTATAAATAAAGTTTAATCTCAATATTTTTTTATTAATTTGTTATTGAATGAGTGTCAAAGCATCCCCACCCATTAAAAAAATATTATCAATCAAATTATTTGTTGAGCTTTGAAAAAAAGTTATACCAAATTTTATTATATATTATCATAAAGAATATCATAATTATTTCAAATACTAAAGGTGTGTATGAATATATATTATCAAGCTAAAAATTCCATAGTAATACAGCCTCTCTATTGTTTATACCATGTGTGGTAAATATCAAAGGATCAAAAGTTAATTTGAAGGTCACCACGAAAGCCAAACAAGGTGTACAGGGTATACAAAGGGACTAGTAAGTAAATGCCGATCAAGTTCTAGCATCCAATGATGTACCCTTATGCACTTGATTGACAGGGGTACACAGACCAGGTATTTTTGAAGGCGGTGCTTAAAATCTCTGCCTTTAAGTGTATTTGAGACAAACAATGGCATTCCAAGAAATCGCTATCTGCATGCACATTAAATTTTCTACCTGCGGATTGAACAGAAATATTGTGCTTCCTCAGAAATATGACTCCATGGAAAAAAGGTGTTTACAGTATAGCTACATTATTAACATTACATGTACAGTGCCTGGCCATAAGTGAGTCATCATTTTATTTTTCCACTATATATTTCATTGAAAAATGCCTTTTTCTAAAATATTATTGCAGTCTTATTTGTTGATCATCTTTTATGACTAAAACACCATAAACATGATAAAACGTAGAATTCTTTGCAGGTTCTTGATATAATCTCAAAATAATTTTATCTGTAGGCAGTGCGATGATATCCGCTGTCAAATGCGAATTAAAAATTTTATGACTCTAATTTGTTAGGAAATCATAGTAATTTGAGGTTAGAAATTTTTGTCTTGATGATTTAATAAATTATTCTCAATGATTAGGGTATAATTTCGTTTAGCATTAAAAGACAAGAAAATTTGAACAATTCTGCATGATTTAGTGAAAAATCACGGAAATAGGGCTGAAATTGACCTCACAATAAGTTTTTATAAAAACTGGTTTTTCAATGAAATATACAGTGTAAAAATGCAATTATGACTCACTTACGGCCATATACTGTATCTCTTCATAATACAGTGTGTATGTTAATTCAACTTTCTCTAGCAAAAATGATTTTACTTTTGGTGAAAGTCTACACAAAAATAAAAATACAGACACCTGTGTAGACTTGTATCCGCCATCCTTTGTCAAATCGTAAACTCGTATTACACCATCTTCTCCGCCCACTACCAGATTTAATCCAGATTCTCTGAAAACAATAAATTTAAGTAAAGAATGCCAAAAGCCTGGAGTAAAAGTTTACAGAGCAAATTCGGATAGTTGCACAGTGCAAATGGCAAGATCTGATGCGTTTATCGATTGCTTACCTGAAGAGCGTGCCTAAACACAAGCAATTAAATCTGTAATCTGTTTTTGTTGACCACAATTCTGTTACTGAAAAGGGAACATTTTCCTTCAGCTTCATCGTGACGATTTCCGAGCCCGACTTGAGAGTTAAATTGCGGATTTCGGGGAGATAACTCGGTATAATATACTCATTTGATATTGAATTTCCAGAGTTTTTTTATGTGGTATTTGGATTTTGAAGACACAGAATTTGAAGATTTAATTCTAGACGACCTCATTTCAGTTCTCAATAGTTTGAAAGCTAGCCAGATCAATATTACTGATATAAACCACAAACAATTTAGCATAATGGTTTGGGCCATGGATATCAGCCAAGACGGCTAGGTTGGTGAAGCACCAAACTAGTTATGCAGGGCCGGCCAATTCTGGGGTCTTGGGTTTGATTCACAGTTCATCCATACATTTTCTCCTTTCCTGTTTCATTGCAGATAAAAGTCCTGCCAGGGGCAATAAGAACTTGAGTTGTGTTTTCAAGGTTGAAGACAATTTAAGGAAGAAGGAATGTAATGGTTTGGGTCATGGATATCAGCCTGGATAGCTCAGTTGATAGAGCACCTGACTAGTGATGCAGAGGTCCTAGCTGGGTTCCCAGTCCAGCCATACATTTTCTCCTTTCCCGTTACAAAACAAACAACAAACAATTAAATTATACATCTTTATTACCCGTACCAAACATTCTAACAAATGCTCATGAGCAGCTCATGAGACTCACATGAGAATCAAGTAAGAATTGTATGCAAATTAGGTAGAATTGGATTTTGCTCATGTGCAGATTGTTAGTCTCTGTTAGGGAGGAAAATACTAACCAGAATGCACATGTGCAAAATTATGCTCACCTCAATGCTCATGAGCAAAAGTCTATTCAATTTGCTCACCTAAGAACAGCCTAATTTAAGATATAGCATTGGTAGTGATTTTTCTAAGTTCAGTTTTCTCATGTGAGCAAGAGGTGAGGAAATTGGACATAGTCAAAATTCAGTATTACAAGTAGAACCAAAACCAAAGATTTACAAGTCTCAATTCCTCACGTGAGGCTCACGTGAGGAAATACAATACTTTGACACTCTATGTGGTCCAAGCTTTCCCAAGCCTTTATTACAAATTGACCATGTGTTAAGTGTTAACACTTCCTGATGATAGCATCACAAATGATTGGGGACCAGGCAGGAATAAATTCTTAATTTCTTGAGCTTCTAATCTTCATCTCCCATCAATTTGAAAATGCTTTCCTCTACTTAAACAACCTGTTGTGTCCCCCACTGTTACTTAAGGTGGGGCAGTATCCAATGAGGAGAGCCAGTTAGGATTTGTGTGCCTTCTAAGACCATTTCAAAATTTCAATATAAAATGTTTGTGAGGGACATTGAAAGTATATGGATTAATACAGTGAAGAACTGAAATATGCTTTTGGAAATACATGTCATCACCATATTGAACTAGATGCTAACCTTTAAAAGTTACAAATGTATCCAGTATGTCCATGGGATGAGGAAATGATTAAAGATCAATTAGATATTACCATGTTGCAGCCACAATGAAGGAAAATTTCAAAGATATGCTGATCTGAGAATAGGGTAAGTGCTTTGAAATTTATTATCCCCCCTCTCATTTCAGATATTACTAATTAAAAAAAAAATATGTTTATATGTTAATTATCAGTGTATTTAAGTTTGATATATTTAATGCAGAATGTTATCAGGAATTACAGTTTAATTAAGAACTATAAATATGGTAAGAACAGATTAGGTCAGATTGAACAATTGACAGTCTCTGAGTGTGGTATTCTATGAATTAGAAGTATTTAAGTTGCTAATTAAATATTGATGCATATGATTTTTCTATTGACTGGCTTTTCATGACCAACGGAACATTGAAAATATACTAACTTATTATAACTTCAAATTTTTTGCAGATAAAATTTGGAATCAAAGGATCTGCAGATTAATCATGTACCCTAGCTGAGCTTGCATACATGACGGAGTTCTGATGTTGGCACTCATTTAAAGGAAATGCAAGGAAAAAGAATGGAACAGGATGAATTGATTATGATTCTTATGACGTACCACTGGATTATTATTTTAAACCCAAGTATGACTGCCACTCATAAATTCAGCAAAGGAAGAAACATCTACTTAGCCTCCAAGACAACTTAAAACCATCTAGTACTAGTGCAGTCAAAAATGTTGACTAGACATTTACATTGGATGTTCTATGTTAATCTACTGGAAATGGAACTATTGGATAATAATACCTTGATTGATGTGTACTGTACATAATTAAAATAATTTAATTAAAATTTTTATTTCATTTTAAGTTTAAAAGATATAGTTCACTGAACATAATTATGCATGCATCTATTTACATGTACATGTTGCTAAAGAGTATTTAAAATGTAATTGAAGAATCACATTTTAGAATTACATAATTATATAATGTTTGTAATCTGAATTTTGTTCTATTGTTGCTTGTTCCAAGTGAGCAATTGTTGCACATGAGTCTCATGAGCCTCATGAGACTCATGTGAGCAATATTCTAGGTGAGCAAAATGATTCCTCACATGAGCAAAAAATGCTAATGTGCAGAACCCTGCTCACGTGAGCATTTCACCTAATTTGCATGTTAAATTGCACATGAGACTCACGTGAGCAACTCAGGTGAGGAAATCTGGTTAGTCCTCACGTGAGCTGCTCATGAGCAAATTGTGAGAATGGTTTGGTATGGGTATTGATCCATAACCGATCAAGATTTTTTTTATGGTACAGATTGTTAATAATGGGTTCATTATGTACATGTATTAAGGCAAGCTAGTATATAAAATCTGTATTTCCCTTTATTCAGTATTTTCCAATAAAAAAAAGAATGCATTTAAAATACTAAGATAGCAATACATAAAAAAGAAGTTTGTGACACATTAAAATAATTAACAGCAACAAAAACTGTTAAGAAAACCTCTAAGAACATATCTTTGAAAACAATTTTATATTAAGTGCAAAACCTGCAGCATTTCTACCAATATTTCCAAACTTTACTAGTTCAATATTACTACAAAAGATCAGTCTCTAATACGTACATGAAATAAAAGATGGATTCTACAGACAATTGGGTACTAGTATTACATGTATATACCAGAATGAATTCAAAATATCAATTGTGTAGTTCAGCTGAGCACTGGAAAAAAAGGTCTTTTTGAAAATTATTCCTATAGTTAATACAGGTATGAAAATAAATCAACAACGAAAAGACAAAGATACACAAGAATGAAAATAAAATAAAGAAAACATGTATAAGCAACAAATGTGATACCTTATAAACTTCCTTTTCCAGTAGTTAACTTTTATTGTACATGTATAAAATTCCTTTTGGAAAATGGAATAATTCAGTTAGCGTACTCATTTATACTGTTTTGTGTAACACTGACATAAAAAAGAAACTGGCAAAATAAATGCACCTGATAAACAATGAATGCCATAAATGTGATTTTGGAACACGTACTACTTATAAACAACTAAATGATTGAAAAATGTATGTACAGAATATAACTATTTTAAAATATAAAATATTTTCATGCATTTACAGTATGTAAAATATGCTGGGTGTTTCCTATGCACTGTTGGTTTGCTTATAAGCATGTGCAGTTATTAGTATACATCTTAATATCACGGACACTGTATATATCTGACAGTTAATCTATGTACAGAACTGTGGAATGGATTTTAATGAAATCAACATGGATTTTCAGGGGGAAATACTAAGCTTTGAGTAGCCACACGATAAAAAGTTAAACCAATAAAAAAATAAATGTATTGTATAGCACTTATTGATATGTCAAATCCAAACAACCTAACTGCCCTCGACAGTTATTAGTAAAAAAAAAACACCTAGTTTTTTATTAATTAATTAAGCTAATAGGGCTACATCAATATCGATCTATTTTTCAAATATACATGTATATGATGTATACTCATGCACAACCATTCATAAATCAAAATTGTATAATGGGGATATGTGGTAAAATTTAATTTTTACATGTATATTAAGGTCCTACTTCATTTAGTAAGTAACCCAATGCATGTGTTATAAAATATGTTATTCATACAATGGAATGTTGATGACTTACAATTACTTGTGGATATGTAAATTAAAACCATAAATATCTATTCTGTTACAACCAACATTTTGTAAAATATTTCTATACATTTATATTATTGACAAAAAGGGCAAAATGTAAACATTAAATAAAAGTCCCTTTATTGCAGACAAACACATTTCAATCGCAAAATTATTACTGAAGTTTCTGTAATTATTATTAAACACACAACAGTAATATATATGAATAATTATGAAGCGGTGATTACAGTTATATAAACAGGAAGTTAACAAAGGTTTATATCAAATATTAGGACAAGACATTCCCATAAACTAGACCTGCTGTATATTGTATCTTCTGTCAGAAAATCATCAACTTTCGTTATTCATAAATTTCAACACTTTGATATATTGAAGACCTGGCATTTACATTCAGAAGGGGCCTCTAGCTGGTAGATTATAAGCAACAAAACTGTAAAAGCTCCGTAATATGTCATTCTCAAAGGAGCAATAAAACATGGACTCGAAATTTTTCAAAGGCACCATTTAAATGAATTTATCTGGATGGTTCATTTCTGTCAATTGATTTTGTATAAAATTGCATCCGTAAAATCGACGAGATTCGCTAATATCATAAAACAATAGTTTTCTTCTTTTCACTCTCAAATATGTATATCCTAATTTGTTGTTCTTGTGGCTTTCAACAAGGACTGTGCCTAAAACTCCTCATCAGTGGAATAAGACAGCTAGGCTTGTCTGCACCCCTCAGGAATGGGTGCTGCAGTAATTCAAATGCCGTAGCTCTCTGATCTGGGTCACGAACCAACATCCTCTCAAGGAAACCTTGTAACCTTGGCGACACCTAAAACATTCACAAAAAGGTCTCATTATGTCTCATTGATGTCCAATAAATTTATCTTTATTTTATATTTAAATTACAGTGTATTATCTTACTATTTAACATCTAATTTTAAAGGCCAATGCAACGAGAACAGAGTTTAAAACAAATATCATTACAAGAGGCAGTTTACAGTGTAATATGTCAGACCAGTTTCTGGTAATAATACTGACTCTGTGTGCATTCTTGAGCTTTGGTGGAGGCATGTCTCGGATTCTCCTCATTGCCTGAAGTGGGGGTTCATTAAAAAAGGGGGGTTCCCCATCGATCATCTCTATCACCATTATACCCAGGGACCAGATATCAACCTAAAAATAGAATTATCATGATTGTTATATTAAAATGCAATATTTTTATAATAATTATGATTAAGCATAATAAAAAACAAAAGACAAAATCTCACAGACTTTTCCTCTTTATGACTTAAAACTAAGCACTGTACTATGATCTATACTATGATCTGTAAAGAATTGCACACAACCACTTTACACTTATCATAATTAAGAGCCCATTGAAAATTTATGAACTTTTGAATCTGAATCCTGACCTCTGGTCCATATGGCAGCCTTGAAATGACCTCTGGAGCCATCCAATACGGAGTCCCCACCAGTGATTTTCTTTTCGGCAGTTCTTGAGTAACTTGTGCACAGAATCCAAAATCAGATAGCTTTACCTAAAAAAAATCAGTAAGAATTCAACATAAACATGGAATTCAGAATCCAAAGTCAGATAGCTTTACCTATATAAAAAAAAAAGATCCGCAAGAATTCAACATAAAGAATTTCATGGAAAAATATTTCCAAATCATTTGCTGTAAATCACTGGATTGCATTTATTCACAAGGCACAACTGTTGAAATCCTTTCTAAGTCATTGGTTACATTTATATGTACTTTCTGTAATTATTCATGAGAACTTTATTTTCACATCAATACAATCTCAAGCAGTAACACAAAAATAAAGTTCTCAAGGATAAAATGTGATTAACATCATAGGCAATGACTGGAATAAGATAAATTTGTTACCTTTCCATCCTGTGAGAGTAAAATGGAATCTGATTTGATGTCACGATGAATGACTCCGTTGGAGTGAAGGAAGGAGAGAGCTTTCAGACAAGCTTTACACACTGTGGCTATTTGGTTCTCATCAATCCTACAAAGACACATCACACAGATTCACGAATACGGTAATGTTCTTTTTTTCCTTGAGGACCCCTCTTATGTCACAACTACCATCATTTGGCACACTTTTTAAAAACAATTTTCTCAATATTCTAGCATAAATAAATAATTCTTAAAGATTCAGGACTAGTTTTAGCATACAAAATATTTATCTTTAACACTTTGATATAAATTTTACTCTTAATTCACACAAATTAAACAGAAATAATGGATTGAAATTTGAGGGTGAGACAGCCCCTTCACAACGGGCTGACAGAGATATCTCAGCCCTGAGGGCGAGACAGCCCTAGTTCCAAGAGGCTGTCTCACCTAGTCCGAAACACCTGTATCAGGGCTGATACACTACTAGGTATATGATATATACTTATTTAATTTTTTGTATGCTGTGACAAATTTCCACTGAAAAATTGGGACCATGTATGCAGCATAAATTAATCCCATGTGGCAAAAAGTACATCTACAGTATACTGCAGATATTCGTTTAAATGTTTATTTATCTAAATTCCAATTCTATAGGATTTTAGATTTAATGAAAAGTTCAAAAATTGTATTTGCAGCCCCTCATTAAACATACAGTTCTACTTGAGGACAGAAATCCTATATATCAAATGTTCAAGTCAAGTCCATATGTTTATCCATCTGACTCTTCCCAAATAGACCAATGAATGAATAAAAACTTAATCCTTAGTAAGTGGCTTTCCTGCAGGTGACACAAAAATTTTGGTACAGATGTTTTAGAACTTTTTAATAAATGGATGACCCCAGTACAAACAAATAAATAAGCAATCGGTTTGTATTGTGACTTACTTGTTGTTTGTCTGGTTTACTACAATGTCTGTAAGAGCGCCACCTTCTAGGAACTCCATCACTACCCATAATTCATCACCAACCAGGAAGCTGTCGTACATGTCTACAATATTAGGATGATGATAGTCCCTCATGATCACCACCTACAAATAAATAGAGAAACGGAAATATTAATAATCACTGGAACCACTTTAGTATCAAAATTACAAATAAATAAACGGAAATATTAATATTCACTGGAACCACCTAAGTATCAAAATTACAAATAAAGAAACGGAAATATTAATATTCACTGGAACCACCTAAGTATCAAAATTACAAATAAATTAAGAAACTTAAATATTAATTATTCACTGGAAACAAAATGGAGAAAAAAAGAATATAAGGCACGCTACTGTTAACCTCTGTTTATAACATATAGATTATAAACACTGCTTCTAATACATGAATACCATTAAGTAGTCTAGATCATATACACCATTTTACAGCAATCATAAAGTTGCTACCATATACAGTATTTCCATATGAGCAGCTTACACTTAGTTTGCTAATTATGGCTCATTTCTTTGGCTGATTTTCGAGTCCCAGTGTATTACAAGGCCAATATTAGATTATCCAGATTTTATTTTAAAACTTAAGTCTTTCTATTTTAAAGATACACGTACATCTACAAAATAACCATACTCCTGTATATAAACACATAAAGATATTCCTCTCACCCCCATCCCCTGTATATAGCATATAAGGATATTCCTCTCACCCCCGTCCTTTGTATATAAAATATAAGGATATTCCTCTCAACCCCCTCCCCTGTATACAACATATAAGAACATTCTTCTCACCCCCATCCCCTGTATATAACATATAAGGATATTCCTCTCACCCCCATCCCTGTATATAACATATAAGGATAGTCCTGTCACCCCCATCCCCTGTATATAACATATAAGGATATTCCTCTTATCCCCATCCCCTGTATATAACATATAAGGATATTCCTCTCACCCCCATCCCCTGTATATAACATATAAGGATATTTCTCTCACCCCCATCCCTGTATATAACATATAAGGATAGTCCTGTCACCCCCATCCCCTGTATATAACATATAAGGATATTCCTCTAACCCTCATCCCCTGTATATAACATATAAGGATATTCCTCTCATCCCCATCCCTGTATATAACATATAAGGATATTCGTCTCACCCCCATCCCTGTATATAACATACAAGGATATTCCTCTCACCCCCATCCCTGTATATAACATATAAGGATATTTCCTCTCACCCGTCCCCTACATATAATATATAAGGATATTCCTCTCACCCCCATCCCCTGTATATAACACATAAGGATATTCCTCTCACCTCCATCCCCTGTATATAACATATAAGGATATTCTTTTCACCTCTGTATATAAGATATAAGGCTATTCTTTTCACCTCCATATAAATCATATTATGCTATTCCTCACCTCATTAAACAGAAGTTCTCTCCTCTGTTGTTTACGGAGGTCCATCTTCTTTACAGCCACCTGAGCCCCTGTGCTGGTTTGTGTAGCTATACACACAATGCCTGTTGATCCTTCTCCAATCTTGATGAAATTATCCAAGTCCTCCCTCGGATCTCCAGGACTGACCACCATTTGTAATGCTGCTCTGAACTGTAACAACACATAGTAATCTGTTACATGTACATGTATGTATCTAATGCTGCTCTGAACTGTAACACACATAGTAATCTGTTACATGTACATGTATGTATCTAATGCTGCTCTGAACTGTAACAATAGGCAGTAATCTATTACAAGTTCAACATTACAAACGTGTATTTAAATATCGGAGTCAAAAATTCATATATCTGATTCAGCCTTAATGATACTTCATCTACTAGGTTATGGCTACAGTAAAAATCCTGATATTTTATCCCTGTGTCATACTACATGTTGAAGAACATATTCTGAATACCTTACACCTCCAGTTACCTGGTTAAACTGAAGACACAGGTATAGACTGTACATACATATCACACCTATCAATGTTACCAAAGTGTGGGTGTCAATCAATCCTGATACTTCATCCCCCAAGTTTCTGGTTATAACAGTATAACAGACCATTATCACTAAACTGATACAATGCAGTACAACTACACAGGTGCAGAACTTCATTTCTCATCCTAATGGCAATTTCTCTCTGTGTCAGGACTGCCTTACCTGTTCATATGACAGACTGTTGTTTAGGTCTGCCTTACCTGTTCATATGACAGACTGTTGTTCAGGTCTGCCTTACCTGTTCATGTGACAGACTGTTGTTTTAGGTCTGTCTTACCTGTTCATATGACAGACTGTTGTTAAGGTCTGCCTTACCTTGTCAGATACAGACTATGCTGTTTAGTTCTGCCAAACCTATGCGAGACAGACCTTGTTTTATATGTCTGCCTTACCTTTTCATGTAACAAGACTGTGTTTCAGGTCTGCCTAACTGTTCACGTGAAAGACTTTCTGGTTTATCTCTACCCTACCTGTTCATATGACATTTTTTGTTGTTCACTTCTACTCTTTATGTGACCTTTTTTCAGGTCTGCCTTACCTGTTCATGTGATAGTCTCTGTTGTTCAGGTATTGACCCGCTGGGAGGAGGTTTGGTGGGGGATTGCTGAGGAGGTCCCATTTTAGGAGGTGCCTGTTGATAGCCCTGCTGTGGATGAGGTACCTAAAAATGTGAGATACAGATGTTCAGCATGTATATACATTGTATTAAGCACAAGATATGAAGGGTGGGGTCTTGTTTTATTCTGATCTTTGGGGAGGGTGGGGTCTTGTTTTCATTCTGATCTTTGGGGAGGGATGGGGCTGGATAAATGACACATTATGAAATTTTATAAAGTCAAACCTTGTCATCTCAAACTCAATAGAAGAAAAACTGTGAGATATCCGAGGATTCAAGATAGCAAGGTTAAAATACACAGTGATTGGGACTTTCAACTTACTTCCACGTTTCATGGTTTGAGAGAAATCAGTGTTCAACATACCACATTTCAAGACAATCTGCTTATACCAACCCTCCAGAAAATAATATACTTCCAAGAAATTTGGATAATTCTTTTTTTTTAAAATGGGTGGAAAAAAAAAAGAAGATTTTACCCCTTTACATTTTGACACTTACATTATCATGATGAGGCAGGGGCTGCTTGTTGAAGCCTTGCATTCCTTGGTGACGATTAGGACCTGGCCCATTGGAGATTTGATTATGTCTGAAATCTTCAGGGTGTCTTGGAGGACTCCTCCCCCCATGAGGCATTCCAGGAGGCATGTGGTTATATTTGGCAGGTGGGTAGGACATATCCTGGTCACGTGACCTATCATGATCAAAAGAATCATTGGGACCCCGTCGGTCCATAGTGTCATTGTTAGGCTGCCTTCTGTCAAAAGAGTCATTGTGACCTCTTCGGTCAAAACTGTCATTCGGACCTCTCCTGTCAAAAGAGTCATTTCCTCTCCGATCAAAGGAATCATTTCCTCTCCGATCAAAGGAATCATTTGGACCTCTGTAGTCCTCTGAACGACGGTCATGCTCCATAATGTGTCCATCCCTGTATCCCTGGGGTGGGGGACCTCTGTTGGGATAATCACGAGGATCCCGCTGGTATTCTCTGGGATCCCTTTGATAATCCCTTGGGTCTCGATATCCTCTCGGATCTCTGTTATCCCTCCTATGATCTGGAGGAGGGTATCTAGGGTCCTGTCGATAATCACCTGGGTACTGGTCAAAGTTTGGGTCCCCTCGTCCATTTGTGGGATATCCTGGAGGAATCCTGTCCTGGTTTGGTGACCGGTCATGCTGAGCCTCTGGGACGGGGTACATAGAATCAGGAACATACCTCCTCCTCTGTTGTGGGGGGCTGCTTTGTCGTAAAGAGTTTGATCTGGCTACAGAAATCCCTCCATGATATCCATTTAACTGAGCAGAGCTTCCCCGGATGACTGTCTATAATGAGATCAAGAATAATTTTTAAATGACACACTTTTTTTCAAGGACAAAAAAAAGTTAATCTCCCTAAAAAAACAAAATTCCCCTTTAAGGTGATGTAGACAATATCCAATGCCAATTCATGTTGAAAATGCGTAAAAAATTTAGATAAATTTTAATTATTTAATTTTGCAACAAATAATTTGTTTTTCTGGGGTACCTTGAGGGGTTGGATTTCCATGTCTGTAATAGTAGAGGGGTCCACCATGGGTTTCCGCCGTTCTTGCTGCTGCTCTGGAATGATGATCCCCATCCATTGTGGGGGGAGACCCACATATTTCCCATGCTCAGAGTCAAACCCTGTGTGGACTCGGTGCTCAAAATTCAGAGGCTTGGAAATTTCTGGTCTCTTCTTATTTTTCTTGAACATGGTGAAATATCTGCAAAAATCATCAAGCAACATTTTTGTAGACATTCAGATAATAACTTGCAGAAACCCATACATTACTTAATCACTGAATTTTTCACTGGCTGTACTCTGCTGCTATGCTGATAAGCCTATAAAAAATAATTAAAACTTGATCTAACAAATATAGTCAGGTAACATTAGTAGATTAATGTGTGACATACATCTCTTGTTTCCTCATAAAGCTTATCAGCTGAAGCACAAAGACGGGAAATTAATTAGGGTATTCCACGGCCAAACAAAATAAACTGAGACTGCACTCCTCAGTACATATATCAATACGTTATTCTTTCTGAATGGTTTGCTGTGTACAGTCAATGAGCATGAAGTTTGTCTGACAGCAGCCTGTCTCATCATTCATTTGTATCAGGTACAAACTAATTCTAAATAGTTTACAATATCTTCTACAAGCACAATTATTTTACTAATTCTCATAATAATCACTGTAAATTAGATCAACACATTCTATTTAAATTATTAATTAACATCTATTACCCATAAAGCCAAACAAAAAAAAAACAAAAAAACAAGTCTCTAATGAGACTGTGGCTCTACTGGCTCTTAAAACAGAGGAAAGAGGGGCTTCAACTTGAAACTATGGCAACAGCAATAAATAGAATTATGGTCCTTGGTTTAGTCTCCTTTTTGAAGTTTAATTGAAACAGACTAAGGCCAAACAAAAAAATATGTTTGGTTCCGGTTACACCTCCAAAAAAATTAGGGTAGGTAGGTAGGGATTTTTTTTTTTTTTTTTTTTTTTTAACAAAATGATTTTCTTAATTTTTCTAAATAATACTTATCACTACTTTGCAAATGACATTTAGATGTGGTGTGATAATATACTAGTCAATATTGGTAGGGGACACCTACATGCTAGCTTGCTTTGGATTTAACACTAATAAACACTTGCACTATGTTGTGCAAGGGGGCCGTCATTGCTGAAACTAAAACTTAAACCGGAGCCATTGATGGAAATTGGGGAAAATTCCGGGAAAAATATGAAAATTGCCAAAAAAAAGTTTAGGGTCGGGGGTATAAAATAGGGACGGTCGGGTAACCGGAACCACACATATTTTTTTATTTGGCCTAAAACAGTAGTAGGAGTAGTGTTTTTAAAGAAATTTTACAGAAACTTCTATTTTTAGTAACTATGGCAACACTGTATGTCAGAGTCAAAAGCTATTTACAGAATTATGTATCTTGTGTGGTCTACCTGTGTATAGTTAAGATTTATTGAAATCAGACCAGAACTGTGGGAATGGTTGCATTTTAAAAGATATTCAAAGAAATGTCTATTTTTAGTAACCATGACACCACCATTCAATGGCATTCACCAAAATCAAAAACCAATATATAGTACATGTATTATGTATCTTAGTGTAGTCTACTTATGTAGAAAGTTTCACTGAAATCAGATTAAAACTATACGAGATCGAAGTAGCATTTTTGAAAGAATTTCACAGAAATTTCCATTTTTAGTAATGATGGCTATACTGCTCATCAAAATCATACACTGCAGATATACAGAATTATGTATCTTAGTGTAGTCTACTTGTTACCAAGTCATATTGAAACTGGACCAAAACTGCAGGAGGAGTAGCATATTAAATTTTTTTTTTACAGACAGATTAACAAACAGACAGACGGAGAGAAGACGAACAATTTACTATGGCAGAAGCTCTTTATTCTCTAACCAGTAGAGCTAATAAATGTTTCAAATTGGTTTCCCATATAACACTCATTTACGAAGAATGACAGGAAGGGGGAGGACTTTTTTAATTTAATTCTACTCTTATCTAAAAAAAAAAAAAAAAAAACAGAAACAAAAAACATATACCGGTAAAAAAAAAGAAAAGCTGTTGTTTAATTTTTTTAACTATTAGCCAAGATTTTGCATTAAATACCAACAGGCAATAAATCTAAGTCCATTTGTTCAGTTCTGCAATCAATATTTGCAAAAGAAATTTTAGCTGCAACACCTAAGAATATGCTCTAAAACATCTGATTAAAAATAATTAAATACTAAAACCAATTATGTAAGTTATTCAGATAATGAAAAATTCAACCAAATCAGATTCCCCCACAACCCAATGCAGAATCGGCAAATTTTGTTTGAAAAATGGAATCAGTTGGAAGAAATTGATTAAAGTGGTTCCCCTATGCTTTGTATAAGTGACTCTTCCAACCATACAAATCATGTAATTAAAATGAACCAAGACATTACACCCTGTATTATCTGAACAGTTAGCACACAATGGGAATGGTCATACTGTGAAATAATTTTTTTTTTAAAGAATTCCAGCTATGCTACTTATTTTGTGGCATTGTTAGAGATTACTCCTCGCACACCCTGTTCGTTATGGTGAATGAGTTAATTTTTTGTTTAACTTGTCAGCCACTGTCAGAATCCAACTCTTCATCACTCAGTCCTAGGATATGCACTCAATTATCCTCCCTACTCTGTATTTCTATGTACATGAGTGTTGCAGTAGACAGAATGACAGAGGGTGATCAATATTACAGCGACTGTGATCTAGTACATATTAGGTGATTATAATGATACAATATACAGGTATCTGTCTACACTTTTGTGTTTTCATTATGTGAAGAATAGAAAATCAACAACTAATCAAAATAGTGATTATTTCCATTAATCATTACACCTTTTATTAATAGTACGTACATGTACATGTGATTACCAGGTAAATAGATTAAACAAACAACATTGGGGTTTTTTTTGTCTTGGTCTTTATCTGTTAATTTTCAACATTGTTTTCAAAGTTTTCTTAAATGTAGTTTTCCATTAACACCATTAAGACACAATGACAAACTAATATATAATGAACACAATAATTTGATGATAAAAGATATTTTTGCATCAGTGTGTAGTTCGACTGATAGAAAAAAAACACACACACACACAGTGTTTGACACAAATCTCCAGTAATTTCCATAATCCCATTATAGTAAAAAGTCAAAACATGGCCATGAATCTGATAAATATATACCTCACTGATACATCTATCTGTGTTTGAATCACAAGCTATAGGTAACATATACAAATCATAAACCAAACACAAGCTGCACATTTAGTCAATTATAATGGAATTGAATTGCAAACTTTATCATTATAATTGTGATTTTTTTTTATTATAAGAATATTTAGAACACTCTGCAAATCATAAGTCCATTAAAATTAATCAGTTATCAATTTCTCTTCAACAAATCAAGTTATCTAAATATATTTTTTTTTTTAAATCTAGAAAAATATAATTTACCTCTGCATCTTGGAAAATCTTACATAAATCCAAACACTTCATAAATGCTACACAATCCCAAAAAAATGTTTTCTGAACACATACTTCTACATGATAAATCAATTACAGTACAGAATTTCACTCACCAAGCTCAAGTTCATTATGTTCTTTGCAATGTTTAAAATCCAATAATGTACTTGTAACTCACTCACTCTCAAGATTAAAATGTGTTAAACTCATTCATTTCTTAAACACATGGTTAAGAACATCAACTTGCACATTTACATCAGCTCTAACGCTAAATGCAAAAACATTTATTCTCTCCAGACTTCACATACCAATATTCCCTCCACATTTTCAATTATTGAACAAGTTTGTCAGGGATCCAATACTTGAAAACAAACACCATATGATAATATTTTAAAAATCTGAAACTTAATCTGCATGTTTTAAATGATTAATTAATCAATCATCTCTCATTTCATTGATAAATTACACTTTCACATAAATCACTGTTCAGATAATTGTGAATCAAACTAACAAGTGTATAGACATGATAGAGGAGTTGGGTTTGGGAAATAAGAATCAAAATTCATTTTTAAAATAACTAATGCTCAAAATCATCGATTTGAAATATAATAAATAAACCATAGTATTAGTGTTAAATTTTTATAAAATTTAAGTATTAGTATTAAATTCTTATCAAATTTAAGTTTAAAGTGAAAAAAAAGAACAAAACTAGGTTTTTCAAAGAATTGTTGCTGTACTGCAAAATCAGAAATCTGTACATAAAAATACAGAGTTTGTTACTAAATCTATAGCAAAGGTAAGATCTGAGGTCTGTAGAATTGATGGGAGGTCAGTTATATATTATGAAGAAGAAATGACAGGATTCAACTGAAACCCTCCAAAGCAATATATACTACCTGTAAAATATCACATAACTATTGGTCATTTCAATTTAAAGGTGCTTGGACACAGATGTAAAGTTAATATTTTCTCAAGTTTTATGTATAATTTCATGACTTATATGTTGCTATAGCATTTCATACTGAAATATAATAAAAATCTTATTCCATCTCAAAGTTATTAAAACTTCGAATTTCTGGACGCGTTGGATTGACACATCCTTGTGCTTTCACATATTTTATTTTTATTCTTAACACTTAAGAAAAGTGGCAAATTTGTTGTGTATTAATGAAAAATATTAAAACTATAACCCAGAAAATTCAGAGTAGAAATGTTCGAAAGTAAAACCCACTCACAGTATTGCAAGTCCGTGCTCAGTGGTGTGTGCAGAGTTTAACAATTGAACACACCCGGTGAATTAACAATTACAGAGCTCGTGCCCTGTTTACAAAAACAGTTTACGTTTCACGAGTGTGTTCAATTTGTTAAACTCTGTACACATCACAGAGCACGGAATGACAATACTGTGAATGGGTTTTACTTTTGAACATTTCTACTCTGAATTTTCTAGATTATAGACGTATTATTTTTCATTAATATGTAACATAATCGCTTCTTTTCTTAAATATTAAGGATGAAGTTAAAATTTTTGTAAGTGAAAAGATGTGTTAATCAAACGCGTCCCGGAATTCGTAGTTCCAATAATTTCCACATTAAAATACACATGTAAGTTTTTAATTATATTTTCATGTGAAATGCTATATAATAAGTCATGATATTATAAGAAAATTTGTGAAAATATTTGTGA